TGATTATGATTTAATTTCTTTCAGGGAACTCCCAAAAGGATAAATAAAATTGATCTAATCTAAACTAATATGCATGACTGCATGGGAAAATGCAGAAACTCAGATCAGTGGGAGTTTCCAGCTCTTCTCTACAGGCTTGGGTAACAGAGTGAGCTGAAGATAAAATCAGAGTGACAGGAGCTGCTCTGAAGAAATCTCTCTCCCAGTGAAGCCTTGACTCAGATGGTGTCAACGAGCATGATTACACAAGATAGAGTTCAAAACTAGACAATGTTCAATGTTCGTGTTACTCTTATTTCCTTGCCCTTTGGGTCATCAATGACCAGCCCTAACCCTAAAAAGAAAGCAGCTAAACTGAATATCAAACCAAAAGCCTGTTTCTAAAGAACAGAAAACTTCTCATTTATCACAAACTTTGTAAATATCTATTATTTCACATTTTGAAGGGAAGAAAAAAATGTCATTTTGATGGCTAGTTTTAGGTCGCTTTCACTCCTGACCAAGCAGACTCAGTTCGATTGGGGAGCTGAAAGTCACAACATTGTTGCATTTATCACTTGTTTCAGTTCTGCTTTTACCCTGTGATTTCTAAAGCGCACCAAACTTTCCGAGCAGCATCACGTGGTTGAAAGGGGCGCTCGTCGATTGGACAAAGTAGGAGGGGTATGTAACCTCATGGATTACAAACAGGGGTGGACTAGCCGTCTTGTATTGTGCTTCGTCGCATTATTTCATGGAATGCTACAACGTTAGTGAACGCAACTGTTCCTATAATGCTATTGTAGCTTGTCAGGGATTGATCCTGTTATTTTTCTAACTTTGACGATCTAACATGTGACAACATATGAGCTCAGAGTTTAAGGACATTGACTGTTGGTAGTTGTGATTTAATTTTGTTTAAATATGCCAAATTGTGAATTTATGGGTTATTGTTGTTCAGACAATTGAGCTAAGCTAGCTGGCAATGCTAATGTCAGTGGTCACGTGTTGTCAAAGCAACAAGTGACGCTGTGCTTCCTCTACCCAAGATGCACTGCGTATGCACTGCGTATAGCGTCATTACGTACATTTGGTCCTGTCCTTGGTCTGGTGAGCTTTCACACTGCATACAAACCGAACCAGAGTTCACTTGCAAGCAAACCGAGACTCACGTTTTCAGGCAGACCAGAGTTCTCTTGTTTGGTCCGCACCAGAGTTTGGATGAGCTTTCACACCTGCCCAAACGAAGCGGCCTATCCGAGGAAACGAACTCTGGTCCGTTTAAAGCGGACCAAACTGCTCTGGTGTGACAGCGACCTTAGTCTTTTAAGACAAATGCCTTAAAAGGCAAGTTTTTAAGTCAACAAAAAGTCAAATCATTTCAGTTGTTATCTTTGTCTTCATTTTTTTATTATGCAATCAACATTGGTATAGAGGTTGTACCAGTGTTAAAATCTGCAGTTTCACCATAATGTGCCAGATAAAAATCCACAATCTATTTCTGAATTATTACAGAGATTTTGGACTGAGACTACCATCAGGATCATCACCACCTGACAACAGCTAGAGAAAGGCATTGTTTCTGACTGACACATTTTCTCACTGGCCATGAACATGCAGAGCCGGCCCAAGGCATAAGCGAACTAAGCCCCTGCTTAGAGCAAGAACAATAAAAAAATATTTTAGTATTTTTTTATATTTTTGCATGTATGAGTGATGTTTTCTGTATGATCAAATATATATTATTGTCAAAATAAAAGAAAACTAAGTAAAACATTTTAGTGCCACTGCTGATGTTGGCCTATGATTCTTACTGACGATATGTCAAAGAGAGAGACTTTGTTAGAAGTTAGGGGAAAAACTTCTGACCCCACAGTAAAAGTTGAGACCCACTCACTTGCTGAGGAAATCGGGTCATTCAGGTTTAAAATTTGCTGTGAGGTTTGGTATGACATTCTCTTCCAGATTAACACCACAAGCTAACTACTTCAGTCAGCCAACATGCAGTTGGATGTTGCACTGGGCCTCATTCAGAAAAACAAAGAAAATGTAATCAGTTACAGGGCAACTGGTTTTAAAGATGCACAGATCTCTGCAAAAGAGATGTGAACAACTGAACACTGAAGCAGTGCTGAAACAGAAGAGGCTGCGAACCACAAAAAGGCACTTTGCCTATGAGATGCCTGATGAGCCACAATCTGATGCGATGAAGAGGCTGGAAGTATCCTTTTTCAATGCTGTGGTGGACTGTACCATCCAGTCTTTGGAGGACTGCTTTCAATCCCTAGGAGAGGTCTGAAGCATTTTTGGAGTGCTTTTTAGCTTTGGTCAGCTTGATGCACAGACAGGAAAGGATCAGTGTAAACTTCTCAGAGACGAGCTCACCTGTGGAGAACAGTCTGATATTGATGGGAGTGCACTGGCAACAGAGATGGAGAACCTCCCAGTTCTCCCTAAAGCACAGATGAGCCCATTTGAACTGCTCACTTACCTGTTTTAAAATGAGATCTGTGAGTTGTACCCAAATCTATGGGTAGCTCAACAGATAGCGTGCACTCTCCCTGTAACTGTTGCATCTGCAGAGCGGAGCTTTTCCAAGCTGAAATGAATAAAAAACTTCTTGAAATCTTCCATGGCACAAGGAAGACTGAGTGGACTAGCAGCGATAGTCGAGTCTCAAAACTAAAGGTGATAGAGCTTTCTCCATCAGAGCTCCTCCACTTTGGAGTGACCTGCCAGAGGAGATCAGGTGGCAGAGACAGTCGCTTCTTTGAAGTCAAATTTAAAAAATCACTTTTAGAGACTTGCTTTTACGTGATGCCGTCTTTTATTTTTTATCTTTTATCTCTTATTTTATCTGTCATCTCTTATCTCTTTGTGCTATACAAACAAATTTATTATTATAAGCATGAACAACAAAGTTGGCAATCAGATTTCGTACAGTGATGTCCTAAATGACTTTGCCTCCAGATAAGCCAGGAAGCACAGGTTTTAAGGAGTGGGTGGAGTATTGAGTAAGACCAAAATCAAACCAAAGTTTTTTTTAAGAAATAATTATTAAACTTTATTTATTCATTTATTTATTTTTGAACATTTTTGTTTCCTGGTTTCCGGTAACTGTTCATTTACATCATTTTAACTTTAACTGTTTTTGTACTGAATTTAATTTATTATTTTCATATATTTAACTGATTTTATTTGCTTTTGCACTTGATTGTTGTACTTGCATGACTTTTTTTTTTTTTTTTGCACATTGCTGTAGCATTTTTTAAAGCCAGATGACACTTTTACAGTAAACACAATGCTTTATCACTTGGAATGTTGTGAAAATCAACCCCAGGCCGCTCTTGTAGCTGAATGCAGGGCTGGCCCTTGGAATCTGCGACATAGGCGGTCGTCTAGGGTGCCATCTGCTGGAGGGGCACTGCCAGCACCCTCCCCCTTGGGAAAGAAATGAAGATAAAATCATATAATAATTTATGACGCCCACTGGTGCCCCCCTTTACTTTTCTTTCTTGAAAATAATACTAAATTACAAGATAAAGTAACTATGTTTACCAGTTGGCAAGTCACATGATACGGGGGCGCATCTCAAGTCAGCGAGCAAGCGAGGAGTCAGAACAGGATGGGTGATTTTATTTACAATTTTTTCATCATGAAAGGGACAGCTAAGCTCTTGGGTGCACAGTTTCAGGAAAGGAGAAAAGAGGAGGAGAGAAAGAGGTCCAAATATTAAGATAACGTAATGTCAACACAGTTTATAAAATATCATTTTTTGTAGAGAACATGTTTAAGCTAGCTAGCTTGAAATAAAAAAGCATTAGCTTAACATGCTGATGTCCGGTGAACAGATATCCTCTTTCACTCAGACATGTCCTGTGGGGGCGTTGAGTAATTTCACCTAGGGCAACAAAAAAGGCTAGGGCTGGCCCTGGCTGAATGTGTTTTTTAAAGATTTAAAACCATACGTGGCACCCTGAACATCATTCATGAGTGACCATGTAGATTCTCATTCATCCAGGTCATGGTTTCCTTGAAGACTCTAAAATCAGGCAACTGGACTGTGTAGAGTTGAGAAGACGTTTCGCCTCTTATCCAAGAAGCCTCTTCAGTTCTTAGTCATCAGTCATTCATTGGTATTATTTGTATGGTTGCATCGGTATTATTTATGTTATTCCCTAGGCCATCCGCTTAAATGTGCAAAGACATGTCAGGCACATCAAATTTATACCGTAGTAGGTGTGTGAATGACCCACAATCAATATTATTGGCAGAAATAGAGGGCCCCAAGATCAAATTTTGCTTGGGGCCCCATTGAGGCTTGGGCAGTCTGTGAACATGATTGGTGAATCAACATTGGCCCCATGTCCAGGTCTGGGAACTTGCAGCCCCCTCTAAGAGCATTTATGGAGCATTTATTTTTATTGCCCTCTTTTTCTGCTGTTTATCACTGGGGCATGCAAAAAAAAATTTGATTTTATTAAATCAAAACACTATGAGTGATATCTGTAATTTCATAACAAACAACATTTTAGCAATTCATGAATGATTCTTGATCGATCAGTCACGTTTGCCTGCAACATGCTGCTGGTGTGCTCTGAGGGATTTTTATGAATGGCCTGGTAGCTACCTATGTTGTGTGTGTGTGTGTGTGTGTGTGTGTGTGTGTGTGTGTGTGTGTGTGTGTGTGTGTGTGTGTGTGTGTGTGCGTGTGTGTGTGTGTGTGTGTGTGTGTGTGTGTGTGTGTTTGGAGTGATGCATACTGCAGTGGCTAGTGATGGAGAGGGAGGAGGAAATAGGGGAGGAGGGGAGAGACGTGAGAAGGAGAGGTGCAGCATGATGGTAGGAGGGAAGGGAAGGAAGGAGGAGATTTTAGAGGGGGAGGACCGCCACTCTCCTCTGGATGGACGAGCCTTTTCTGCTGCTTTCACTGACTCATCCCCCCTCTCTCTCTTTCTGCTCCCACATTGGTGCATTCTACCTAAATGCATCAATCGCCACTGAGACGCGCGCGAACACACACACACACACACACACACACACACACACACACACACACACACACACACGTTCAACCAGGCAGCTCCGCCTCCTCTGCAGTGTAGCGACAGCCAGCGAGGGCAGCAATGGAGCCAGCAGTGCAGCAGGAGAAAATAGAGGGATCATGGGAAGGAGGGCACGACGGGGAGAAGGCAGACTGGAAGAAGAACGAGTGCTCCCTGTCCTCCCTCCTCAAACACTCCTGTCTCCTCTGCTGGTCGTCTCCCAGGGACCCTGACGTCGTGGAGACGGATGAGAGAGTCCTTGCCAAGGCAGCCGAGATCAGAGTAAGAAGACCGCAGCATCTATCCCTGGTGTGTGTGTGTGGTTGGGTCTCTGTGTGTTATTTTGCTTTATATAGTCTGTGTTGGTTTTCGGGTATTATCATTATCAGGACGTGTTTCGTGAGTATTTATGTGTGCAGTGTCCACAGTTTGGGACTCTTGCATCACTGCATTTCCCATGATGCTCTCATGTGATGTCATATTGCCATAAGACTGGTCACAGACTGGATGAAGCTGTAGATATGCTCAGTGCAAACTTCTTACCAGCAGGTCCCTGAAGGCCTCAGGTCTACTGTCTGTTCTCTGAAATGAACATTTTAGTATTCATGGTAGATGCATATGAGTCAGACTAAATGAAATATAGGGATGGATATCTGCTCAGAACTACTGTAGACTTATACCACATGTACCTTTTCACACACAAGCACGTGCTGGCTGATAGAGGCCAGTATCAGGAACTGAAATACTCACATATTGAAAGCAGTACTTCAGAGGCATTTTGAGTTCAGAAACACTAAAGTCAAAAAAATCAACTCAGTGTACAACCAGAGGTGCTACATGTCCAAAATACCGGTGCTGTTTTCATTGACAAAAATATTTCGTCCACGCACCTTTTTTTCCACCACGAAGACGTGACGTTGACGAGCTAAACATAAGACATAGATGACTAAAATGTGACGTGACGAATGTGCGTTTATATTGACGAGACGAGACTAGACGAAAACGTTTTTGGTGGATGACGAACAGAGTTGCAAAATTCATGAGCATTTCGTCAGTCAAACGCTAAATATATATTCTGCAATGTGTTGTTTTCGTTGACGATGTAGAAAATATTTCGTCAACATCAGCCAACGTAGCCATCAAACTCAATCCTATCTGTTGCCGCTTAAAAAAAATTCAGGAACAAAGCTACCTGATTGGCCGATGAATCGTAACAGCGTGATGCGTCATGCATTGTTTGCGCTACGCTAGTGCGTCGGGTCCATGTGACGGTGTGGCGGCTATAACAAAGCAGATGCCTCTGTGAGCTGGCTGACTGGTGGATGTAATTGTATAAAACAAGGTTCACTTGCAAGGCTAAAATTAGCCCCAAAATGTAAAGAATACCCTGTATGTTCGCCATCGTTGTTGTTGTTTTTCTTTTTAATTCGCATGTGCGAGCTGCGGTTTGACGTCATCGATCCGTAAAAGTTCAACCACACGAATCCACTTATACGGATATTTTTTTATTTCTCCACTTGTTTTTTCGGATTCAGATTTATCTGGTTTGAGTGTTCCAAACTCCCGTTTTGGTGTGGTAGGGAGGCCTAATCAGACATAAATATGTGTGATTTGAAATATATCCGCATTCGTGTAGTTGGGGCCTTAGTTCCACCTACAGATTTGAAGCCAAAAAGCTCTCGGTAATTCCGTGTTTTTTCTTCATTTCCTGGAACCAACATTGTACGCACTCCACCACTTGCGCAGTAGCATTGTGCGCATTTGGCGGGAGAGCCGCCAAGAGTCGCTGTGATGACGCTCGGCTCAAACAGCGTATCCCTTGGGTGAGCTACGCAATCTTCACACGCCCATAGGCTGTATCAGGTGTCCATCAAAGAAAACATAACCCCCTAATAACTTTTAAAAATGGAGGTTCACAGAAAAAAGAGGACTTGAGCACAAACCAGTCTTACTGTAACTACATGTCAACACCGCAAGCAGGGGGGAGAAAAATGTATGTTCTGTGTAATAAATTTCTAAAGTTTGTCCACAGCTCTATAAGCTTTGCGGAGGCAGGATTTATGACCTATACTGCTGCCTGTCAACAGAGGGTGCTGTTCTCAGAGTGACTTCACCCAGAGAGGAGGCAGACACTGTCCATATGTCCATTTTCTCTTGAATCAGAATTTACCTGTTCTTTTACTGTGACAGTAAAATTAGACAATTAGTATCTGATTCTACCATATATAATTAATAATCTTCAGATAAAGATATTAAGTAATACATCTGCAGTCTTCTTCCAGCACTTAAAAAAATATTTCTCTACAGTCAGTATGTGTAAGTTGCCACCCCCTGCACTTCCCATAATTGCTGATACCAATATCATGCAGATAATATGATGCAACCCTGACTATTTTTAACATCACAGTGCCTTGCAAATTAGCCCTCTGGCCTCTTGAATGGGCAGATGGTCTGCAACAGCTCCCATCAAGGTGAACATGCTACATTACCAGAAACAATGCACATTTAAAAAATAAAATAAAATCCAAAACAAATGCAATGACAGAAACATGCTGTAAAACTCCCCCCCCCCCCCCCCTTTCAAAATAATAACAGCAAAAAAAGCTGAAAAAACATAAACGATGCAAACTCAAAAACAAATGAAAAGGCAAACGCTGCAAATTCAATCACCACCATAGAAGTGCTTCAGGTCTGTAGGGGCGCTAAATCGACCAGCTTCATTATAAATGGGACAGAAAAGAAGACCAGACTCTGAGATGTTGAGATTGTATAGTCTGATTAAATGCACAGCTCAGTGGACTTTGTAGCAGACATGTTTGTGAGCTGAAAGCCTGACTGCTGTTTACAGACACACAAGCATTGATGATAGAAGGCACAGATCAGCTCTGAATGGAATCTAAAGAACACGACTTTAACACACATCATGTTCACATGAACGCTCTCCGTCCATCAGAAACTGTTCCTCAGACATTGTTGTGTGAGATTGATTTAACTGTCTCTGACCAGCCACCAGTGAAGCTGTTTCACTCAGCGCCCCCTGCAGGCCTGGAGCACCTCCATCCTGAAGTCTTGGTTATCTTTCACTATTGTTTTTGTATATATATATATATATGTGTTTTTTGTTTTTTTAAAGCTTTTTTATGGTCAATTTTTGCCATACACTGGAATAGAAAAGGACGTTCCACTTAAGAATACAAAAAAGTACTATACAGAGAAGTATACTACACTAAAAGAAAGAGTGCTTTATATATGTTCAACCCTGATGCCTATGTTTTTTGTTTCCATTGTTTATTTTCCAGACTTTTTCTGTTACTGCTATTGTTTTATCTTTTTGCAGAACTTTTTTAAGGTTAATTTCACCACTGAGTTGTTTTCAGCCTTATGCACATGTTTATGAATTAGCAATTTTAAGCATCAGCAGCAAGTAAAGCTCATTATTCCTCTATCAGATATCTATTTATTTCATAGTTGTTGGTTTTAAGGTTTATCTGTTAGTGCTGTGTCATTTATTTGTTTTTCTATGTTTTAAATTATTGTATTTCTTTTATCCTGAGTTTCAACATCATAATCTTTCCCTCAGTGCTTAAGTCAAAGTACCACAAACTGACTGACAGGGTTGAACTTTACAGCTCCCTGTTTATTAGCAGCTGGAAAAAAATCAAGGACACCAAATCATAGAGTTTGAGTTTCATCTCAACTAAAGGTTTAAATTTTGTTTCATAGTTTATAACTCCACAGAAGTGTATGTATCATTCTCTGTGCACGTGTGAGTGACAGTGAGTTTGCGTGTGTTTGTGGTGCATTTTATTCTGATTACAGGAGCTGGAAAATGCCGTGGCTGTGGAACACCTGGAACTTCAGGAGCAGCAGTCGGACCGCAAGGAGCTGGAGGAGACCCTGGTGAAATTAGAGACACATAAGGAGAAGCTAATTCAGCAGATTAAAACAACCAGACAGCTCTGCTATGAGGAGAGCCAGCAGGTAATAAGCTTTAACTCTAAAGGTCCTCACACACACATTATTTCGGACGTCGATATTTTTTTTTCGAACCCATATCCTGTCAATACAAGCGTTCACATCAGCAACGTTTTCCCGTTCTGCGATATTGCGGCATTTATTTTTTCGGATCATGGTTGATTTTTCTAAAGTTTCACATACTGTGTGTCCACTTCTGACCAATCAGATTGTGTGTTGATGCGACGTCAGATTCACCGGTATATCCAACATGGCCGACCGGCTGATTGTTTATGATCATTTACACAAATATTACAAATATAACGACCTGAAGGACAAGTTGTGGAGAGTCATTGCGTCGGATCTCTCATATGACAATGTTTTGTGTGCTTTAACAGTTTGCTAAACGTCTTTGTTTTAACTTTCATCCGTGCTAACATAAGCTAACGCTTGTTACCATAGTTTCATGTGCTTATCTGGTACTGGCCCCGACTCAGCAAATGCTATCATGACAGAAAGCCATCTCAACACTTGTGTCTAGTCCTCTGCCTCTTCAAACTTGGAGCTAATTGTTTCAGCAGAACTTCAAATTGTCCAACGGACATCCGAAAATAAGTTCTGAAGCGACAGTGGTACAGTTTCAGCTCCTGAACCAAGCAGTGAAACTCAGCAAGTTCTCTTGTTTGTAATATTGGATGCACCCATGTGCTACGTTTCTTTTTCTTTTGAGAAAGCAAAAGGAGTACCAATTCGCCATCACTTGAGTTGAAGTAAACTCCATTTTTGTCTTCTCGCTTCCACCCGGGACGCTGTAGGTTGTTAAGGGAAGGTCCCACCCTCCTTCGCCTCTGATTGGCTATAATGCTGACCGAAGGACTTGAGCGTGTGATAACGTTTTTAGTTTTTCTAGCCAATCAGAGGCAAAGGAGGCGGGACTTTCCCCTGGAAAAGTCTTTTCCGGGATGTGTCTTTTTCCCCCCGGAAAGTCGCAAAATCGCATCTGGCTTGATGTTTATAGTCAGGCATGTCAAAATTCGCCTCCGAATATTTCGTGATTTTGCGTTCCACAGTACGGGCCTAAAGTTTGGACTCACCTTCTCATTCAATGCATTTTCTTTATTCTCATTACTATTTAAATTGTAGATTCTCAGATGTGCCTTGTCAGGGTTACCTCGTGGCTGACAGTCAGTCACTTAGTACTTCCGTCATCAAGAGCAAAGGGTGGCTACTTTAAAGAAACTAGAATATAAAACATGTTTTCAGTTATTTCACACTTTTTTTATAAGTACAGAATTCCACGTGTTCATTCATAGTTTTGATGCCTTCAGTGATAATCTACAATGTAAATAGTCGTATAAAAAATAAAGAAAAGACATTGAATGAGAAGGCGTGTCCAAACTTTTGGGCTGTCCTATATAGTGTTGGTCCCAGTGTGTAAGGACCTTTAAGCTGACAGTATTTCTGTGACATACAGACTATTTACTAAAATAATTTTGATGTATAATTAACCAACTTGATGCTGATAATAAGAAGCCTACAACACTTTATAATGAATATCATTTGTATTAAACTGATGAATGGTAACAGCAGACTACCTCGGTGGGTTGTCCTTTCAGATCCTGTCTCTGCAGTCAGAGGAGGTCAAGAAGGAGAGTCAGGTGGAGGAGTATGAGAGGGAACTTGCCAGAGCCAGGTGGAGGTTGAGGAAGCTGAAGGATGAAGTGAAGCAGGCCAAGAGGAAGGTGGAGGAGGCTGGAGAGAGGAACACTCCTCTGCAGGACTCCATCCGGCAGTCCTATGAAGAGATCCTGCAGGTAAGTCTAAGCCATACAGGCCTTAATGAAAGCACTGCACATGTTGTATCTGTACCTTAATACAGCCCAGTACTGAACTCTGCAGACACTCACCATGAACCCAAGCCATGTCATGGTGTCAACTCTGCATAAACACTGTAAACAACAGAAACACTCTGTATGGACAGTTTTCTACTCTGTAAAGTAATTTTGTCAAAGAATTTTGCTAATTAATCTTTACATTTATTGGCAGTATCACTGTTGGTCACTCACACTTACTTTGTCACCTTAAAGCCTCTTTTTCCCTGTCCATTAAGTACAATTTGAAAAGTCACCCGTAGTGCTTTTATTCCCAAAAGTGGATACTTATGATTATTTCTCTACTCGCACCTTTTTTTTTTTTACCAACTTCAATCTCGTTCAGACAAACAAACTAGTCTTGGAACTTAAACCCTTTAGATGACAGCTTGAGCACATTATATTACTGATGTTTTTATGGGGTAAAATGAACGATGAAAAACTTCCCGACCATCAATTGAATGTTTGAGGGATTTTGTTCAATTTGAAACAAAAAAAGTCTTGAAGATGTCAGTGATTATCAGCAAACACATTTTTATTCTTTGTTCACTGTCAGCAAAAACTAAATCACACTTGGATCATGAATCGAAAACATGGACATATCAGAAAAGTATCATAAGGATCATAATAATACTACTAACAATGACAATATTCATAATGATAATAATAATGATAACACAAGTCTGACTCAAGTATGCCGTCTGCTCTGCCTGCAGACCTTTGATCTGTTGTAACATGTTTTTAAAGTGAGGAATATCTGTTTTCTCTGGTAATTTACTGAAAGAAATCATTCCAAATTTATCATTGTTGCTTTTCATGGTTTTCTTCCTTTCTTCCTTGTCCTGGTAGGAGGAAAACACCCTATACTCTCTGTCAGGGGGTGCAGTCACTCCAGAGAGCCAGCTGGAGGAGTCCACATCCCCTGCAGACACCACTGAGGATGATCCACTGCCTATGAAGCCATGGGGGAGGAGCCAATCATTGCCCGCCTATGCTGACCTGATCATGGTACGGCACAGTCACAGTAGTCTTTTCACTTAGGGGTGTCTTTAAAACAGGAACAGACTTTAACGGTGCTTTCCCACCTTTGACAAAATCTGTACAATTCTTATTTTAGTGGGTCAGTAGATCCAGGTTAACTTTGAATTCTACAACTTTATTAGAAAAGCTGTTTTAGAGGCTGGAGATGAAAAATTTGATCAACATCAGTACTTACCAGACAATCAGGACCTTAAAACAACTCACTGTGAAGCACAAGCTTTAAAATTACGGTAAAACATAACCAAGGTCTGAAACCTGAAATCCTCAAAAATAACGCCTGCAGGATATTTTTTCAGCAAATGTTATAAATTGTTCTAAAAATACCAGTCTTTGTTGAGTCTGAAATGGGATGATTCATTAATTGAGCTCTGTGCAGAGCGGGACATACAAAGGCAATCATCAAAAACACCCAAAATAAACATGCACCAGCAGAGAGACATAGACAGAGATTCGTCTGATTTGCTGTTTGCACAATCAGTGAGACCAGAGATCCCTCTGATAAAAGAGAGACACTAAACTTAAAGTGAATGGATCAGAGTTCATGTAAAGCTTAAAGTCCCATGAATTTCAGGCCCTTATCTGTGAGTGTCAAGAAGATGAGTAGACAAACTACAGATTGTATATGAAGAAAATGAACCAGTCTGTTATAATATTTTCTGATTATATGTTGTCATTGTACAGATGTTATCATGTATTATAAGAATTACAATGGTACATACCTATAAATTATTTGGTTTTAGTATAGGTACTGTTTCATGGTTCTAAAACTATTAAAAGCTTTATCTGATTTACTGTCTCAGAACCTATGAAAAAGCAAAAAAGAACTTATCAGGTGACTTAAACAGAAATGAACCATATAGTCTTCATGATGTTACCAAGTCAAAACACTAGGGATGGGAATCGAGAACTGGTTCTTGTTAAGAACCCTTTCTAAATGATTCTTGTTGAGAACCGGTTCCAAATAGTTCAATCCATCAACATCATTTGCATTTTATCTCAGCAATTCCCTTAACGATTCCTTTCTTCCGGGTGCCTTAAAAAACGGTCTTGCGGGTGCCAGTCTACGCGAACGGGAACAGAGACAGAGAAAACATGGCCGACAATACGAAAAGTAGGCAGAAACAGGCTAAAGCATGGCTTACTAAGAAAGATGACAACAGTGCAACGTTTGTAGAGCAGTAATAACATGCGAAGGTGGAAACACCAGCAACATGCGTCAACATTTGTCAACGGGGCACTGCATCAAATGTAAGGAGTCACATATATGCAATGCTTTCCTCCGGTGTTGTGCTGTAGAATGCACCCCTGCATTCAAGGTAGAGAACATTATATTTTCGGGACAGCAAATATTCTGAATCAGAGGGCTATTGTTTTTGGCTTATCTGAATATCCTGAATGAAATCATTAAAGGCAACCGCTTTTGAATCCAGCCAATGGTAAGGAAAACTTGGATTATTTCGCCTTGTTATGTACTTTCAACCGCGCTGCCGTCAGGGGTGCATTCTACGGCACAACACCTGTTGAACACCCTTCATCAGCCGCTGCTGCCCTGTCTCAGCACGGCATTGAAGGTATGTATGTTAGTGTGACCATACGTCCTCTTTTACCCTGACATGTCCTCTTTTGGGGGGCTGTCCGAGGGAGTTTATAAAATCCTTCAAATGTCCGGAATGTGTATCCATTGAGTATAAAACAGTGCAGAGCATCAGTGCTCTCTGCAGCTCTGCCTCTCCGCTCACTTCTAAGCAAAGCAACTGACCCGACAGTCGCGTGCGCTGTCTTTGGGGATTCATAATAGGAAATAGAAAATTCAAAATAGGCCTTTAACTGAGTTAGAAGTGCATAAAAACTCTCGACCTGACAAAAAAAAAAACAAAAAAAAAAACAAAAAATTGCACACACAAGTCTGCCTTTTTGGGGATTCAGGATATGGTCACATATACACATATAAGCACAATGCATGCCAGAAATGCTGTACAAATACCATTTTTGATTGATTATTTTAGACGATCACTGAAGGTACATCTGTCTATGTTATAAGAGACTCAATAAAATTATGAGTTAACCGGTGAAAAGCTGTAGTCTACTTTTTTTATTAAACCAAAGAAAGGCATTAATAAGGGAATCGTTAAAGAATTGAATGAATAAGCAGAATCGATAATGGCATTGATATCGATAAAATCTTATCAATTCCTATCCCTACAAAACACAGATATTTACTCAGGTAGTATACTTAATCAGTGCTGTCAAAGGAAGTCTTGGTTGTTTATGCCACCTGGATGTTACCACACCCCAGTCAACATGAGCATGTACCATATACTGTATGTACCCTCCCCCAGATCGGCTAATACTGATGAAGCTTCTTTGTCTGTCTATGTTGGGTTTTTTTCAGAGGGCCAGTGGCTCGTCTTTCTGTAATAATCTTGTGGACACCAGAGAGGAAGCCGATGACAGTGGGACGAGCTCAACAAAGGTGCGTACCTAACCGCAGGACACCTGTCACTCTGCAGACACTCACCTGAGGACATACAGCAGCATAGAGTACCTTAAATTAGCTTTTATTTGCCTTTTTGTGATGGAGTTTGGGGTTTTGATTGATAATAAATGCAAACAGGTTTAGAAAAGCTCCAGTTTTTTGATCAGGTAATAGGCTTACACACACCATTCAAATGGTCTCTGTATAGGTCATGGGCATTTTATTTTGATTTGATAACAGATGGACAGATCTGACATCGAGGATTATCCAGAGGATGGAGAGACGTTTGATGAAGAGGAAAAAGAGAAGGAAGGGGACCAGTCCAATCCAAACCCAAACCCCATCAGCCAGCTGGACTTTTACCAGGCAGACCCCTTCGCTCACTGTCAGAGTGACCGTACGTATCAGACATGGAGCCTCATTCATTGATTCATCCAGCTGTAAGTGTAGAGAGAGCATTGATAAAATAGTTAAATTTAAGGTCCAGGGATTTGGCTGTACCTGTTCCTATCAGGTGATACACCTGAAATTTTCTACTAAATCTAAATTTTTAATTTTCTTGAGGAAACCTTTCCAAAAAGATCAGTTAAGTTCTATCTTATCTTACCTGATGTGAACACAGCTGTTGTTATTTTTCCACCTCACACACTTGTCAGTTTTAAGCCCAGCACCCATGTTGTGAAGACAGAAAGTGAACTTGTGCCCACATCTGCAAGGTGGTGGTATAGGTTTTAAATTAAGGAATGGTGCAAAGGTGGGGCAATGCTCCCCTGCAGAAAGCAGAGAAAGCAAAAACTGGTCTAAAGTCTAAAGCCAGTGTTGCAGTATTCTGTCTGTTAATACATAAACAGACACAAAACAGTTCTCCCAAAGACAATGGAGCATCAGCTGTTTATAAAGAAACAGGGGGCTTGGACATGCCCGTTTTTTCCTCTCATTTCCTTATATGTTGTTACTGCTCTGAGTTTTGGATGGACAAGGGATGCCAGAATTTGAGGGCACCATCACTGCTCTCTCTTGAGTCCTGCAAGGCCCCAAAACTACTCCTAGCTTTATTGTGCATACAGACACAGATACAGTCACACACAACAATCTTTGAACGCTCTGTGCCACTGACCATGGCACTTTAAGATATGGACTGAACAACATCTGTAAACACGCAGAATATGGACAACAACGAAAGTAATCAAGTAATTGTCTAACTTTTTTTAAGCACACAAAAATGTTAGTTATCATTATGTCCTTATTACATTTCTGCCAGCGTGTTCAGAGTTTATGAAGTTAGTCTGCTGTGTCTTGTGCTTTAATGCGAGTATTTCTCAAACTGAAATTGTTTCAGTGGATATAAAACATCAATCCATTTATCAATATAACCTAGCAACCGGTGTATTATTTTTTAGGGACACTATAGAAAGAGAAAAAGCAAATGTGTTAGCTCAATCTCTGTGTGTTTAAAGTAGACAGGCTGACATCCAGTGTGTAAATAAAAGCACACCTGTCTCTTAAAAGAAATGAGAGCAGAAGCGCTGAATGGTTTGATTCTTGTTACTGTATATTAATGTATATTAAAGGGGCTTCATCCAACCTCTGTCAGCCTGCCCCTCACTTGATGCTCAGACTCTGTGCTGCTTATCCTGCAAACAGGCCCTAATTCACTTTGCCCCATGCACTTAGAGGTGGGGTAGGCAGGATCTGAGGAAGTGCCAGTTTTTGGGAGAAATCTTGAATGTAAACACTACCCTTCCCAACCAGTTTTCCCCTCAGCGCCTCCTCTCCCCTCCCTCTCTGCTCCAGCAAGCCCCGCCCACAAACAGGGGCCCCTGCTCACTTGTACTATTCCATATAAATTCAGATATAATGCAGATAAATACCTAAGAAAATTACAAATGGGGCCCAGTCAATGTGAAAGTAAAAAGTATTGGTGCGACCGTAGATGCCAACAGACTACCAGCAAACACAATGTTTGCAGGACTTCTACAATTAGGTTAAAGTGACATAGTCCGGGACCCGTGGTCAACAGTTAGTGGCGCTACAACATGCAGCAGGTCCTGTTTGACAAGAATCTCTTCTGTTACAGACACTTACTTACTTTTTGGTTGGTTTCTACTGTCCAACACTGTAGCACGCTAACTTTGTGCACATTATTGGAGGTCGTGGAGCATGCCTCACAACACGAAGAAGCAATGTCCGCGACACTACCAATCAGCTTGGGGAGTGACCTGATTGGTTGGGCTGCTCAAAAAATTTTAAATGTTGACTACACAGGCATAACAAAACACAGCCATATCGTTATATTCCCAATTGTCATCAATAACTAATAGCTATTTGACTGATATTAAAAGCTTTTTTGTATATACACCACAAAAAAAGATGCTTCTTTAACGAAATCCTGTCTACCCCACCTTTAATGTTTGTAAGCAGTTAATGAAAGGAAGTATTGTTTTGATTGGACAGTACAGTGACAGTACAGGGAGGTGTTTTTTTAATTCATAACTCTTGAGATCATCATATTGCAATATCTTTAGATAAGAAAATAACTTCTAACTTTTTCCTGAAAGCCTATCACTGCATGAATATGTGTGATTGTTCCATGAAAAGGACACGTTCAGCACGCCTTTTTGTTCCACAGTTACCATGAAATAAAAATGTATGGGTTTTAATGGTTTTTAAATTACACTTTGCAATAACAGTAGACTTTAAAACTTCAATCCAATGTGTTACACAGGACTTTTAAACTCAAATAAGGTCTAGGTGTCCTTTTACATAACCTTTCTAAAAACATTTTCTCATTGGTTTTGTAGATGACCTCTTTAATGAAGATCTCTTCCCCAAAACGGACTCATCTGGTGAGTGATAATAAAACTTTCTTTAATTTCATGTAGGTGACCATAATAGAAAATAATCAGGGTCACATCATTTTTATTTAAAAACCTCTTTGCAGGTGGATTCGCTTCAGACCCCTTTAAAGGGAGCGACCCTTTTGCAGCCGATGTTTTATTCACTGAGGGGAACGTTGACGGTGATGAGGGGCCAGGAAACGGTGGTGATGAGGCAGACACCAGTCTGTCTTGTGCTGAAAACAAAGCCTCGACAGGGACTCAGTGCTTTGAGTCTGAATTTCCAGATGAGGACAGCGACATCGAGATCAGCTACAGCCGCGAGGACCTGGATGCTATTGCTGTGGCTGAGGATCCTCATGGATTCAAACCTATTCAGAGCTCTTCAGAGGAGCTGGGGCCAGAGCCTATTCAGGGCTGGAGGTCTCAGGGTCAGTACTCGGTGGAATCAGACCCCAATGGGTATGAGCTGGATCTGGGTGCTGTCTCTCCTCCCTCTGACATTGAGGAGCACAGTTTGGGGTCTCTAGCTGGAGAGGTGAAAGAAGCAATAGTAGAAGGTAAGTGTATGCTTGAGCCTGTTCTTATTCCTTAGACCTGGTCCACATGTATGTGTAAAGTTTTGAAAACTAGTTTTTGTTCTCCCTACTATTCACACACGAACAGAGCCTAAAGGTCCTTACACACCGCGGCCAATGCAAATATAGAAGGTGAAATTACGAAATATGACTATACACATCCTGACTATACACATCAAGCCCAATGCGATTTTGCGAGTTTCCAGGGGGGAAAGACCCGTCCCAAGTGGAAGCGAGAACACTGACTCATCAGCGGACTGACTGTTTTCAGTTCTGATTAGACACTACCATTGATGGCTGTCTGCAGCATGTTGCATACTATTCTGCTGGACTATAGATAGCATTTACTGAGTCGGGGCCAGTACCAGATAAGCACATTAAACAATAATCCATAAACGTAAGGTAACAACTGAGACCTAACGGTGCTGTGACAGCAACACGATTGAGTTTGAGACAGTGAAAATACGTATGGTATGTTATATCTGAACAGGTTAGCTTACAAGCTAAAGTTACTTAGCACAGATGAAAGTTAAAACAAAGACTGTTTAAGCACACAAACCATCGTCATATGAGAAATCCAACGCTATGACTCTCCACAAGTTGTCCTTCAGGTTGTTATCTTTGTAATATTTGTGTTTTTTTTTATCAAAAAGCACACTGTTCTCCGACACGTAAACAATCAGCTGGTCAGCCATGTTGGATATACTGGTGAATCTGATGTCACAACAACACGCAATCTGATTGGTCAGAAGGGGACACACAGTATGTGAAACTTTAGAAAAATCGACAATGATCTGAAAAAAATAAATGCCGCAGTATCGCAGGACGGGAGAATGTTGCTGATGTGAACACTTGTATTGACAGGATATGAGTTCAAAGAAAAATATTGACGTCCAAAGTAATTGCACGTTAAAAACGGTCCCGGTGTGAAAGGACCTTAGGCCTCTCAGTGTGGACATTTTTGTAACCCTCATTGTGTGTTTGGTGGTTTTATTTGTCCCTCTTCTGATTGTTTTCTCATAGGTCAGCGGACTGGTTCAGTTCAGGATGTCCCAGAACACAGTGATCAAGTCCCATTTGAGGCAGATTGGGTAACAGACGACAGACAGGAAATGCTTTCATGTGATGTTACCTCCACTCAGGGGGCAGAATGGGCTGACAACTTCCAAGAGGACACACAAAACCCTACCACTCCTCAAAACTCTCTGGACCTGCAGAACCAGCCTGACTCAGATCAGCAAAGAGAACTCAGTTTTGAGTATGAACCAACCAGTCAGTCTTCCTTTGACCCATACGGGTTCAAACTCAGCCCAGAACATTCTAGTCATACCCTTTTGGACCCTGATGAGGCTGAACTGAGCCCAGAACTTCCTGAAAATGATCTGACCTTTGACCCAGAGCCCTCCTCAACACCACCAGACCAACTAAGCTTTGACGCCTATGGATTTGATGTTGCCTCCTCTCAGATGGCGAGGGACTCTGACCCGTACGGCTTTAAACTCAGCCCTGAGGAAGAGAACCAGGAGATAGTGGACCTGTGCTCCAGTGACAATAACAAACAGCAGAAGCCACCGAACTATAGCAACCAGGAAGAACTGGAACCTCATACCCATGAAAACCAAGAAGTGCTTGAACCTTGTAGCTACAATAACCAGGAGCTGCTAGATTTGTTAAATAATGGAAACCAGGAAATGCTGGAAACTTCTAGTCCAGACAATTGGGAGGTGGTGAACATTGAAAACCAGGAAATCCTGGAACCCTGTGGTCATAACAACCAGGAGGTGCCGGAGTCCTATCAGAGTGTCACCACAGGGGAACTACTTGAACCTTGTACCTATGATAACCAAGAAGTGCTGGAATCACGAAGCCATGGCAACCAGGAGCTGCTTGATTTTTCCCATCCTGAAAACCAGGAAGTGCTTGATTTAGATAACCATGGTAACCAAGAACTACTAGACTTTGGTAGCAAAGAAAACCAGGAAGTACGAGTTTCAGGCAGCCACGGTAACCAGGATATCCTGGATCCCAGTAGCAATGAAAATCAGGAACTGGTAGACTTAGGTAGCCATGACAACCAGGAAGTACTGGACCTGTTTAGTAGGGGAGTTTACCCTGAAGCAAACAATAACCAATGTGTAGTGGAACCAGAGCTCAATGCAAGTCCCCCCAATAACAGCTCAGACAGTGATGGGTCATCACAGGACTTGCTGGGACTTGAACTTAGTAACACCAGTATCTGCACTACCAATAAAACAATCACCAGTACTGTCGACACCTGCTACACAGCTGTCAGAAACATGGCTACCAGCCAGAACTTCACAACCTCCAACTCACCTGCCACTCATAACTTGTTGGACGGAGATCTTGGATCTGTGTTTGGGGCAGGTGGATACATTGGGTGTCCAGATGTAGCTGATGACCTGGAACCTATGGGCAGAAAGCCACCAAAACCAGTGGCAGAGCCAGTGAGACCCGTGAGACCAGTGAGGCCTCCCCGACCATCACTCCAGGTAAGGTGGAACTCTTCATCCTGGTTTTAAAAAGTTGGAAAAACATTGTCCAATTGTCGTTTGACCTGTTGACAGCTTTCGTCTTTTGTTTTCCGATGATAACATCCGTGTCAGGAAATGGACGTCAGCATGGTAATTCTGGTGTAGACAGTCATCATTAAGCAGGACCTACTTTTCCGTGTGTTGAACCCTGCTTTTTTGCCCCTCCTTTTATGTCTGCAACATTAACACCATCATTTTGTTCATCCTTTAGGGCACACTCACATTCCTTTTGAATGATTATTAGCATTCATAACATGTGTTAACGTGTTAATAAAGTGTTATAAGCAGGTAACATACAGGGATATATCGGCGTAAAATTAAGTTAGGATCAAACACACCATAACACCGAGTTAAACCCCTCCCCTCAAGAGATTAATGTTGCCGACCGCTTGCTTCTCTAGTTATACCAACTGTAGTAATGACCACACGATAGCAATACACACGGCCCCAGTGGCCACGCGCTCAACCAAAAAGCCACTCTATAGCCACAAATAATGCTCAGAACAGCACCTAACTTCATCAACCATACATATAGGGTCCCAGCCATAGCATGAGCCACCAAACATCTTTATAGTTTTGCCTGATTTCTTGAGCAAAGAGACTAAACACAACTCACCTACTCTCTTCCAGCAGCCGCTTGTTTGTATGGAGACCTCAGACGAGTCAATTACTGCAGCGGGGTGACGCAGCTCAAGGAAGAACATTTATGATCATTTCTTCATGGAAATGCAATCAGACCGAAATGCTAGGGCAAAAAAACTACCGTGTCTGCAGTGCAAAATGATTATTATGATGATTATTACCTCAAGGAAATGATAAAGAAATGATCATAAATGTTCTTCCTTGAGCTGCGTCACCCCACTGTAATAGACTCGCCAGAGGTCTCCATACAAACAAGCGGCTGCTGGAAGAGAGAGGGTGAGTTGTGTTTGGTCTCTTTGCTAAAGAAATTAGGCAAAGCTAAAAAGACGTTTGGTGGCTAGCGCTATGACTGGGACCCTATATGTACGGTTGATGAAGTTAGGTGCTGTTCTGAGCATTATTTGTGGCTATAGAGTGGCTTTTTAGTTGAGGTTTGCGTGTGGATACATAGTCCGCTGTGTAATGCTATCCTGCGGTCGTTACTAAAGTAATACCAACAACTAGAGAAGCAAGCGGTCGGGAACATTCATCTGTCAAGGGGGTGTCTAACTCTGTGTTGCACTGTGTTTGACCCTAAATCAATTTTACACTTTAAAGTTATGATGAGTAATGCATTATAGCATGATGCAACTAACAGCACCTTTTAAATGCTGTGTCTGATGTATGACATTATAACTCCCAAAACTGTATCCAGTAATAAAGAATCAAAGAGAATTCATACAGGATATCATGTTAGAGATATTACACTTCATAAACATTGCTGTGAGTTGTCATAAATGCTAGAATTCCTGCAGGATTTTAATTCTCTTGTACCTCATAAACCTTTAATCGCATTTATGGTCCACTTGTTTTTACGTGTGTTTCAGGCCAAGGAAAAGGCTCAGTCCCAGACTCAGGGCTTCGACCTGAAGTGATTTCTCACCAACCAATATCCATGTGGGGTAACCATGTCAGCAGGGTTCCCATGACAACCACATCAACATCAGAGATGGAAAAGATGAGGAGAGGAGTAAGAGAGCAGGTGATCCAATCCAGACAGAGGGGGGTAAAATGAAGGAGGGGGGTGGTTTATGGACCAGCTGTAATTTACAGCAGTTACTCTGGTTTCAGACATTTTAATGTTGGGACTGATGTAAGTACTGATGCCAAGATGAGGAGTGGACCAGATTTACCAAGAGACAGACCGACTCCTCCAGATTTTATTATCACTCTGGAGGAAACTGGGCTGCATCATTTTTCTGTCTCTTTGGAGAGATTTAATGAAGTTAGCGCTGGAAACATCGGGATGAAAATTGACAGTCTTTAAGGTCCTTGTGTTAAAAAAATATTCCCTCCAGTTTGGTCCTCAGATGATGCTTATTATAAATATCAGGTCCTATCACAGTCTTCTGCCCCCCAGCTTTCCTCACCTCACACTTTGGTAGGACTGACTGCTCCACCATGAAAATAAGCTCCCTGTTGTGATTTAGCCCGAGTGTTGGTTCATGTGTATGCGGTCTCATAGATAAAGTGTAAATAAGTCATTTACTCTATTGTGCTTTTCAGATTAGTCAGTTCATAGTTTTTAGTTTAGTCTAAACTGGATGAGGGTCTTAGAGAGACTTTGGTTGGCATGAGAAAGTGAGTGTAAATCTGTCCCACAGTAACAAGAATGACTTTCAGGTGCTTTTGAAAATGAACCCTTAAAAGCAGAATGAAAAGCAGTGTTTACTTGTCGTCTTTTACTGGCACATTCATACCTGCATGGACCACAGCAGTACTGACGGCTGAGAGTTATACCTGTAACCTTCTCTGATAGAGACATCATGGCATCCTGGAGTACACCTGCGCACAGGGCTTTTGTGGGCCAGTATCTAAATTTAACAACCCCAGCTGTCAGTGCCCTGTCCAGTCCTCTCCATAGTGCAGTTTTTTTTGTCATTCATTCGAAACAGCACCTCAGATGCACTGCCCACCACACATTTGCATCCTTTGATGAACGTTACATGCAAAATCAATTAATGCACACTCACAAGCCTCTGCAGTGTTGGATAGTCATGAAATATCTGAGTAAGGAGAAGATCCAAAAGAGCACAGTGAGGACAGGCACGGAGCAGAACTGGATACACTGACTCTAACAGTTCATTACGACATAATAATCATGATTTACTAAAACCAGCCTCATAATGCTCGTGCCATCAGGTGAATAAGAGGAGAATTGGCATCATTTCTACTCAAAGCACTGCCTGCACAGCACTGCCGCAAGAGAAGTTTAACCACGGTGTCTTGAAAAAAAACACGTCCCTCCTTACATGATCCTTTACTGTGTTATACGGTCTCTGAAGTAGGTGAACAGATGGACCACTACTCACATCCAAACAGAAAACTGTCATTGTGAGAGATAAGCGGGCCGTTAGTGTGTGGAGCCATCTTGTATAATAATTATAACAGAAGCTGCTGCTGTCAGCAGACTGAGACAGCAGTATGGACAGCTGGATTACTTTCATAAGTAACATAACCTCACACTAAAAATCAAGCCCTGTCAGGCTCAAACACCCTGACAGTCTCTCAGCCTTTATCTCACAAAGCTCCACCATCAATTATGCTAACTGGTCAGTGGGCTGAGTTTTTCCACAAAGTGCAACTGGTTTGGCATTCATCATCAGTTGCCATGATGACAGTCCAGTAAGAAGTGAGTTGACAGAGGGCTCTATTTCCGTGCCCGCCAGCAGTGGACCCTGCACAGCCAGTTTGGTATTTTCATAGACTGAGGTGCACTGAGGTCCGTCAAGCTGGATGTGGTGGCGTGGCAGGGGGAGGTGTAGACAGAATCAGCTGGCACAGTGACATTTTCATGCCCGTCGGCGGCGTAGAAAGTGCGCCGAAAGCTCGCCGATTCCAACTGCTTTTGCGGTGGCTGAACAGAAGATTTATTTTAGTGATCAGATGAGTTATTTACTTTAAGCCTACATACAAATATAATATTCAGTTGCATGAGCCAAATTTATTTTATATGCCAACATCAATGAAAGAAAGAGCCAGGCCACAGAGCACGATGCGTTCTGTACGCACAAGTGGCTCCGATTTTAATGCCATTATTGGAATTTATGTTGTGATTTATGCACACAACCCACCCTTGTCACGTGAGGTTTAAATATATGCAACTTTATGTGAGTGTCTTTATTTGTGGAAAAGGGTGTTTGTCTTACCAGTGGGTCCGACATTACACACACCAAATCCATCTACGCTTATATGAGACAGTGTGGAGGACGCCCTCTGCAGCGCTTACAGCAACACATGTTGAGGAGCTGCCTTCTGTCGCCATTGTGTTGCATTGCTGTCTTCAGACATCTCTTGACCTCTCTGACTACTGCACGAAAATTGTAATACGCCTTGCCGGTGGTGGATTTAAAGGTGAGGAGTGGAGCTTATGTGATTGGTGAAAACAGGTCTCGACTGTGTTAAACCCACTCCACGCCTTATCCTTGCCCTCTCTACGACTTACGCCGCTGGGAGGAGCTGAGTTAGGTAGGGGGGATACTTACGCCGGGTTGCGCCACTCACCAAAATACCAAAATGTGCTTGGGCACGCCTTGTCGGTGCGACAGACCTGACTTACGTCATGCCTATGCCACGCTGCCGGCGAGGCACGAAAATAGAGCCCAGAGAGTCTGTCATGGTCACAAGCATAAGGAGTGTTAGTGAGCCAGCATTAATCAGGACCAACAGTAACAGCAGTCTGTATCATATTCAAATATAATCCTAATTTGGCCGTTATAAAGATACAGGCTTGAAATAGCTGAATATGTTGGATCTGCAGCCAGTGATAAAGTAGAAGTCGTGCGAGAGCTTGGAAAATACTGCCCTACAAGTCAAAGTCAGGCATTGAAGTTTAGTCAGTATTTTCATCAAAGTTCTTCAAGACTGATGCATGGTGCCTCTCAATTCTGTTACTGTTTTTATCATTTATATTATCCAGTTACAGAGACAGGCATGCTTTAGTAACTGACTGACTGTTTGTGATGCAAATGTCAATATATGATAAATAGTGTTAATAATCATGACCTTAATATCAACGTAGAATAATTTTGGCTATAGTTTTTGCCATAATCAAGCAGCCCTTCTCTTTAGTATTGAAAACCAAGAGTTAACCCTGAAGTAACCTTGATAACCACTAATCCTGATTTGTACTAAGGTCCCTATGTAATTTTATTTTGTACTTATTATGACTTTTAAGAGATGAAGGACCCAGAAGGAGCTGAGGGCGGAGTTGCATTTCTCCTGATGCTGGCAGTGGTTGGTCAAGTTCTATAATTTCAGCTCGCCAAAAAAGGACCTAAAACATTCTCAGACTCATATGGTGGTGACTGTTATGACATGAAAAGACGAACCCTTCTCTCCCGCTCTGCTTTTCATCCTGCTTTGACCTACATTTTACTTTAAACAGGACCATAACTTACAAAATCAAAACTGAAAATGACTGAAAGGGATGTTTGAGGCTGTAGGCTTTTGCAGAAAATGTTTACTTAAAATTTAACCAACCAAGAAATCAGCTCCTGGTGGAGTTAGATCCAACACATTTCCACTTTCCATTCATTTTCAGAAACCTCTTATATTATCCAGAGCTTTAATTCTTATTACAGCCACAACAGCACAGAATAAATGCATTTATAGCCAAAATAAGATCAGCGATGGTAATGACATTTTCATATGTGCAGTGTAGGTGTTAAAGCTCTCCTGCAAGAAAACGTGTACGTTTTTTCTTTTTTTTTTTTTATTTCTTTTTATGTGGTAGATGTGATCTGCTCCATTTTGTGTCTAAGATCAGCTTCTGAACAAAATCAATAAAACAAATCAGTAATAGTGGTAATAATAAAATTAAAGAAATAACAAAAAAAATAATAATAAAAGAAAAGTAACTGAGATAACAGTTGATTTGAAGCAAATCTTGGCTGGTGACAAATACTGGTAAAAATATCTATTTTATGTAACTTCGGAAAAGAACTTGGAGGAATTACTCTGGCAAAATCTTTTCTTTAATTTGTCAGTGAATCAGAAATTCAGGAGAGTAAACAGTTGCAACCAGACATGAAAATTTGGATAATTTTGTTCGTTTTTTTTCCCCCCTCGTCTTTCTCCCTGGGCTTTTATCAAACTGTGGAGGTAAACTAAACCAGTTTCATCTAGGGCTGGATGCCAAACCTTGAACTAAAAGTCACTATGAAGTTGTAGAAAACAGAAAGATCAAGATTCAGTCTTCAGCTCTCTGTAAACTCATGAATGCAGTTGATCACTTACCTCTGTGATATTTTGCTGTTCTGTAATCAAGTATAACCACCTTACCGTAACACTCACTGCTTGCTATGAAAAAAACAAAACAAACAGAAAATACATTTAACTCACTGCTCTGTTAACAGACACCCCATATACACTGTAACCAGTTTATTTACTATACAGTCAGATAGACAGAGTTTACCTTTATTGTGAATGTATGATAGAGTATTTTTGTGTCAGGTGTACAAGATAAATATGACAAAAGTCTAACCTCACACTGGAGCAGACTTTGCAGATGCTGGAGAAACACAACATTTATCTCAAGTTCACTCCTACCTCCACACTGTATGTCATAGCTGCATGACAACACTGTGAACCCTGCAAATGTTAGTGATTCAAACCCTCTGTGAACAGTCCTCATTTATGTTATGCTATGATGTACAACCCCAATTCCATGAGAGCTGAGATGCTGTGCAGATGTTGATAAAAACTGAATTTGATGTAGTACGAAATATTTAGTGATGGGAATCGAGAACCGGTTCTTGTTGAGTTCCAAATGGTTCAATCCATCGACATCGTTTACATTTCATTTTAATGATTCCCTAACGATTCCTTTCTTCTGGGTGCTTTGGAAAACGGACTTGTGAGAGGCAGTCTATGCAAAGGAGAACAGAGACTTTGAGGAGAAAATCATGGCAGATGGTACGAAAAGTAGGCAGAAACGATCTAAAGCTTCATTTTACTAAGGAGGATGACAACATGTCTTGTATAAGGCTCATTAACATTTATTACCATAAATGTTAATGAGCCAAAGTCAGTTGGTTTTCCTGTAAGGTTTTTTAGGCATACTAAAATGGTTTGAAACAAACCATCAAATAACTTTTAAGCTAAAATTATGTTGCAAACATGATCAGAGGACATCAAGGATTATTAAAAAAAGATAAAAATGGGTATGAAATTTTGATGGCAGGTCCCCTTTAACATTGAAAACCTATAGTCTACTTTTTTTTTAAATCAAAGAACGGCATTGATAAGGGAATCATTAAAGAATTGAATTAATAATCAGAATCTTTAATGGCAATAAAATCAATAAAATCGTATCAATTCCCATCCCTAGAAATAGTGCAAAGACAACATATCAAAAGATGAAACTGAAAACTGTTTTTAGTTTTTTTTTGTTATATATTTAAATATTTTTTTTATTATTATTGATTCTCATTTTTAAATGTAATGCCAGCAACATGTTTTTAAAAAATGTAAGAGGAACAACCAAACAGGTAAAAAGTTAATGTAATTCTGTGTAGCGGTGTAATTGTAAAAAATACAGCTGGAAGAACATCTCCAACTTTTGACATGAGCAGGTTACTAACATGACTGGGTCTAAAAAGGACATTCAGAGAGGCTGAGTCTCTTGGAAGGAAAGATGGGCAAAGGTTCATCACTCTGTGAGAGACTGTGTGAGCTAATAGTTCAACAGTTTCAGAATAATGTTCCTGAGTGTCAAATGTGAAAGAGGGAGTGGATTTCATCATCTACAGAACATCATATCATTAAAAGATTCAGAGAATCTGGAGAAATCTCTGTACTAAAGGGACCAAAACCAAGACTGGATGGTCCTGATCTTTAGACCAGCAGCACTGCATTAAAAACAGACAAGACTCTGGAGTGGAAATCACAGCTCAAATACCTTTAAAAAAAACTTGCCAGATCATTCACTCCAAAGCTGCATTACAACAGCATGGCCTTTTAGTAGAAGAGTCTTGCTGCAGTCCTGACTTATTGCCTGTTTAATCCATTTGGTGCCACATGACACAGACCCCAAATTAAGAAATCCTGCATCAGGATCAACATTTCACCCTCCAAACTCCAGAAACTGATCTCCTGGTGAACAATGACAGATATTACCCTGTAGCATTTTTTCGAAACGTGTTGCTGGAAAGACAAGTGTGTCTTGGATACAAGGCTCCCAGACTACATTGTAGTAGAGTTGGTAATGGGATAGCAACATTGTGGAACAGCAAAATCCAGGAGGCCAGGGAAGTGCCCTCACAACAGTGATCATCAAATGTCTTTATAACACAATCATTTTACCTTTAAGGTTTTTCTCCAAAGATGATGCACATTGGTTACATAACTTTCATAGTAAATTTCCAGGATGGGATTCAGAGTCAGAAAAGGTCAAAGCCAAAGGTAGATCACAACGAATAAAATTACAGTTGGATTACAGTTTTTTTTTTAACTTTGTTAGAAGCACACAGAAGAAAGCTGTCACTGTCAGAGCTCAGTATACTGCCAGACTAACGCTAATTTGGAGTCAAGACACAATTAAAAGGAAGACTTTTCTCTCTGTAGAAATGGATCCCCTTTAGTAACATTTTCAACTACCACCTGTGAACCACCTCAGAAACGTTAAGATTGGTTCTAAGCAGAGGTGGTTTGTAAGAAGTTGACCCAGCTAATGCCATCCACAATTAATGCACAACCTTTTTGGCATTTTTCTGACCCCATCTTTTTTTTGTTGGAGACATAAGCGAACGAGTGAAGTGAATTCAAAAGTGAATCTGGAGAAGGACTAAGGACTAGGACTGTGGATTCATTAGAATAATGTGCACTGAGATGGGAAATACAAAATTTAGATCCTTTTCAAACAGGCTACAGTGAGACTATAGTAAAACCAGTGAAGTCGCCCTCTCCTGATTAAGCAGATTGAAAAAACATCTTCATCAGTTTTGTATTTACAAAAGAGATGCTTTGTTTACTGTTTATATATAAATGGGGGTTTGGAAAAACCCCTGAACATATTTTTGAACTTTCCTTTTAACCAGATTCATTCTCTTTTTTTATGATACAAATCTCTAATGATCACAAAGTATTGTTAATCAGCAAAATGGGACTGAGCAAGTGATTGAGGTCTGAAAATGTCTTAACCTCTGACTTAAACCTCAGAATTCTGTGAAAAAGCTCAGAATTCTGACTATAAACATCAGACGTTTTTCTCAGAACATTTACAAAAAGTCAGGATTTGAAGTTAAATTTCAGAATCCTATCCTCAATCTGGAAATACTGAGAATGAAATATATAAAATCCTATGTTCAATCCTGAGGATTCTGATGTCAAAGTCAACAACCTTTGATCTTAAAATTCTGACTTTATCTTGGAATTCTGACTCTAATCTCTAAAAAAAAAAAAACAGACTTAAGGTCCTTTCACACTGGGTCCGTTTTTGTCGTGCGATTATTTCGGACGTCAATATTTTTTTTCGAACCCGTATCCTGTCAATACAAGCTTTCACATCAGCGATGTTTACCGTCTTGCGATATTGCGGCATTTATTTTTTCAGATCATGGTCGATTTTTCAAAGGTTTCACAGACTGTCCACTTCTGACTGATCAGATTTGGTGTTGTTGCGACATCTGATTCCCCAGTATATCGGACATATCCGAGAGTGCTTTCCGATAAAAGACACAAACATTACAAAGATAACGACCTGAAGAACAACTTGTGGAGAGTCATAGCATCGTCTCATATGACTATGGTTTGTGTGCTTTAACAGTTTGCTAAACGTCTTTGTTTTAACTTTTATCTGTGCTAACGTAAGCTAACAGTTGTTACCATAGTTTCATTTGCTTATCTGGTACTGGCCCCGACTCAGTACATTCAAACTTGGAGCTAATTGTTTTTTTAAGCAGAACTGTCCAGCGGACATCCGAAAATAGGTTCTGAAGCCACCGTGGTACAGTTTCAGCTCCTGAACCATGCAGTGAAACTCACCAAGTTCTCTTCTTTTTTGTAATATTAGATGCACCCATGTGCTACGTTTCTTTTTCTTTTGAGAAAGCAAAAGGAGTACCAATTCACCATCACTTGAAGTTGAAGTAGACTCCATTTTTACCTTCTCGCTTCCACCCAGGACGCTATAGGATGGTAAGGGAAGGTCCTGCCCTCCTTCGCCTCTGATTGGCTAAAAGTGCTGACCGTTTGGCTTGAGCGTGTGATGACATCACCAGCTTTTCTAGCCAATCAGAGGCGAAGGAGGCGGGACTTTCCCCGGGAACAGTCTTCCCTCGGATGCGTCTTTTTCCCCCCATAGAGTTGCAGAATTGCATCAGGCTTGATGTGTATAGTCAGGCGCGTCAAAATTCACCTGCGAATATTTCGTAATTTCACGTTCTATATTCGCATCAGCCCCGGTGTGTAAGGACCTTTAATCCTGAAATTCTGAGTGTAAAATTAAGAATTTTGAGTTATTTTCGATCTCTAATTCTCCTCTGCGGTTCGTCTCATGTTTATTGTAGGTGCATTGGCTGAATCAGCATCTTCTATTCTGAAAAAATTATAACCAAAGCCAAATGAAAATGTGTTTGCTCAGAGTTAGTTGAAAAAAGCAGGTTGTATGAGCTGTTTTTTTTTTTTTTTTATTCTATTTTTATTTTTTTGGTGGGAAGGATTTTATAAATTCATCCTTTTAACTCTTCCCATGGACTGGTAAACACTGTTCCCATCTAAAGAGGAATATTAAAGATATATCATTAAACATAAATACATGTAGCACGATCATCTCATTCAGTGAACTGTAAATATGGCGAGGTTGGAAAATATTTCTTTCTTTTTTTTTGTTCCTTGAAGGATAATTTAAGTATTTATTGTTGTTGATATATTTATTTATGGATTTATTTATTTTTTTACAGGTTATCTATCTATACAGTATGTTGTTACATAATTAGAAGTAGTTAGAGACAAATAGAGAAGATGTAGTTGATGCCATTACTTTTAATTCTTTACAGTGTGTATGTTTCCTGTGATCCAGATATATGCACTTTAGAGCCATGGTTGAGAGAAATGAAATTCAGTTTGCCATCATTTTAATAATATGCCAGATTTATGATCCAAGTTTAAAGTCAAACACTGTTTGTCAGTGTCTGACTTATAGCTTTAAGTGTCAGGATAAAGATGATGAGTACCTATGATGTACTTATTAATGCAACTTCTGTGTTCTGCCACAGTGACGCCGTGGTTTTCTCTGATGATAAAAAAACAGCTGTGTGATGTTGTAAGTGTTACTGTCTAACTGTGAGGTTCTGTGTTGGAAAAATTAAGAAATAAAAGTCCTATATAAATCATGTCAAAATCATGTGGTGTTTTTTTTCTTTCTTTCTTTCTGTCTTTTTCAAGCGCAGAAGAGGTTTGGGCATTCCCAGTCAAAGGGATGGTTCAGAACTGTTTGTACTGGGGTTAAATTGGTCACATATTACCACTATGTAACTACAATGATTGCAGGTCAGCTGGTGTGGGGAATGCACAAACTAGCAATATATTACCCACGTTATTGTGAGATATAACATTACTTCAAAAATACCAAATTATTTCCCTAATACTTTTTACTTTTTTTATTTTAGTAAAACAGTATTACAATACAATACAGGAACTTTATTGATCCTCAAAGTGAAATTTGTTAGTATAGAGCCTCATGTTATCTACTATTTACAGAAGAATCTTTTAGTCTGATTGCTGTAGGTTCAAAAGATCTTCAGAATCTCTCTGTCCTGCAGCAAAGAGAGAGGAGCCATCCACCACCATGGTTTTTTGGTCCATCAAGGTAGTGTGAAGTGGATGATCCATGTTCTTTAGAGAAGCCTCTTCTTACAGACATAATGAAGAATTGACACTGACATTGACCACAAAATACCACTAGACCAGCCGCACTCCGCCTGTGCTGAAAGCTGACTAGGTTTCAATCGGCGAGCTTTCAGCGTACTTTCTACGCCGCCGTTGAGCACGAAAATGTCACTGCGCCAGCTTTTTCTGTAGACACCTCCCCCTACCACGCCCAGCTTGGCGGACCTCGGTGCGCCTCAGTCTACGAAAATACCAAACTGGCTGTGCGTCAGGCTCCTCCAGCTGAAAGTACCACTGCGCGGAGTGCGCCACCCTCCGCCACTGGCACTAAAATAGAGCCCCTTTAGTGACCCAGAGATGTTCAAAATAAACAACAAAAAAGATCAATTAGGCACACAGTGAGAAACTTTATTGTTTTTGGCACAATAGTGTGATCACACAGGTTTATCTCAGTGCTCAATAACATGTCGGGTTACATTTATTACCTTCCTCTTAAAAAAAAAAAAAATTACAAACAAACAAACAAACATGTACCATTACAGATATCATTTGTAAGGTTGCTTGGCTAAATGCCTCTGTAACGCACAATCAAAATTATAATGCAGCAAAAAAAAACAAAAAAAACTTTACCCTTTATTAAAACACTTGTGCAAAAGTAAAAACTGTCAGATCAGGATATCCAGAGAAAGAACTACACTTGGTCCCAGCATATGAGAGCCATCTCATAGATGACTCAAACCAGTATAAACCAGACCAGGATCCAGCTGACAGTTATCCCATTATTTCACAGAAATTGTTAAAAAAATAACTTGTTTCAATACAAGCTGCCAATTTAATTTTTTTTTTACTTATTTTTTATTTTTTAATTCTAAGTGTATCTTTTATATAAGAGCAAAACATCTAAACTGTTTTATTTTCCACAATAACTTTTCAAGATTCAAACCACTGAGTGGACTGCACAGACTACACAGCCATCCATCCATCCATGGCATTTTACACTCCATGCTGATCCACACTCATTTATTCACCCTCACTCACTCACAGACTAAAAAGGAGATGGTCTTGAGTGTTTCAGAGCCTTATATGGAGGGTCTGGAAGAGTCAGGGTTGAACCAGTGGGTTACCCGCTTTGAGCCCTCCAACCCAAAGATCTGAATTTCCTGGCTAAGATCATGACAGTCCAGCCATGCAGTACCATGTTATTTACAGACTGTTTCAGTAATACAGGTGAGTCTCAATAAATGGAAATATTATTTAAGATTTCACTGTCCTCTCACTTTGTGTTTATTTACTACAAACTCACCATGAACATTTGGTTTTATAAAAAGTGCTTTATTGGTGTGCTGGTTTTTATTTTCCATCAGGTCTAAGCACCTGCCCATAGTGCCAGAACTCCTACCAAATGTTATTGTGCAGCCGACTGGTCTGAGCTGAACCCCTACAGAGACTGTGTGGGACATTTGTTAAAGAGGAAGATAGGAAACAGCTGACTCAAAAATACAGACCAGCTGATGGAGCTGAACTTCAATAACACCTCAGCAAAACTATTGGCTGATCATCACCACGCTACACTGGTGAAGGAGTCCATAAGAAAGGACAGGGAAAAAATGAACAAACTTTACTAAAATTAGACTTCTCTGTATTTTAAGTCTTTTTAAAATTGATTTCAGAAAAAAATTCAATTATTAGAGATTCTGGATTTATGATTTTATAAACTATAAAGGCCTAAAACTTTTCACTTTGAAGTCATAGATATAAGCATAAGTTTACCTGTTTGAAGTAAAGTATGGCAGTCTAATATTGAGCTTCACCTGCATATGCAGACATATTTAAGAGTTAAAGTGTAACTGGATCCCATTTAAGTGCATTTAACCCTAGAACACTATGGCCAGGTGATTTTCACCCAAACAAACATGTTTATGTGATTTTCACTATGTTGCGTTTGTCTGAGTACCATGGGTCCCTGGGTAGCTTCAGCATTGCCTTTGAGATCTTTGAAGGCATATTTGTTTCCCCGATCCAAAACCTGATTTTTCCTACAGGTACATGTTCACAGGGTGATTTTCACCCGGCAATAGTGACAGAGGGTGAGTAGGTTTGGGTGGATTTGATAGCTGCATGTAGGGGAATAAGGTCAGTAAGAGTCGTCCTGGAATCTGCATGCTCTCTTTAGTGAGCAATAGTGCAGAGTTGTGCAAGCTAAAGAGGTGGTTCGACAGAAATAAACTTTCATTAAACTTGTCTAAAGCAAAATTTATTAAATTTAGTAATAATAAAATAGATAATCAAGTAAATATATACATATAGAAGATATTGCTATTGAAAGAGTATTCGAGAATAAATTTCTAGGAGTGATAATTGATGATAAAATTAATTAGAAATCTCATATAAAATATATACGAACAAAACTATTGAGAAGCATTTCACTTCTGAACAAAGCAAAGCACATTCTGGATTCCAACTCACTCCGCATGCTGTACTGTTCCCTTGTTTTACCTTATTTAAATTAGTGTTGTGAGGTTTGGGGCAATACCTATAAATCTTCACTCCATGGATTAACTATACTTCAAAAAAGAGCTATACGAATTATACATAAGGCTGCATATCGAGACCACACCGACACACTATTCATTAAGTCAAACCTGTTAAAATGTATGGATATTATCGAATAAAAAACCGCCCTGATAATGTACAAAGCTACAGTAGGTACAATCATCTCCCTGGGAATATCCAGAAAATGTTCTTTGACAGAGAGGGTGGGTACAACCTTAGGGGGAAGTTAAATCTGAAAAATCTGTGTGCCCGAACAACATTGAAATCATTCTGTATCTCGATATGTGGAGTTAAACTTTGGAACAGTATAGATGTAGAGACAAAGCAATGTTCAAACATACACAAGTTCAAAAAAAGGTATAAAAAATGTGTTATAATGAGGCATAAGGAGGAAGAGTTACATGAACGATGATGTGTTCAATGACTGTACTGTATATACATCTATGCATGTATGTATGTATGTATGTATGTATGTACGTATATGTAACTTATTATTGATATCACCAATTTAGTGTACAACCAAGAAATCCTTGATACGTAAGTGGTAAATCAATTTGTTAAAGTATACTTTATAGGTATACAGTAAGTTGACGCTGTGTAGTTGACAAAGGGGTAGGATCACATAAGTCTTGACTTCACCCAACTCCTTTTTGAACATGATCGTGATATTGGCCGATTTTTGCCTGTTAGGCTTGTCTTTGATTTTATTTTTTTATTTTTATTTCATATTATAACTATTATTTTCTTTTCATAAAGCCTTGTTTTTTTGTTTTTTTTTAATTTTACTTCATTTTTTTTATCATGTTCAAATAACGATAAAGATAAAGTGGTTATGAATAACTATCAGAAAGTAGTGCTTTTCAAGGGAATTCATTTGCTGATAAGAAATATTTTAGTCAGCTGGTCATTTTTACTCACTCAAAATATGACATATTTTGGTTCTCTTTCCTGCAGCTGTTATTGTGCCAAGGACCCTGAGTCTTCACCAAGGAAGACTCACATGCCCTAGGAATGGGTGGAAAAGAAACAAAGTTAACAGTTCCTATACTTTTTTTTAGGAATTTTTTGTTCTTAAATGCCTAATTTCTGTTATTCGCCTCTGAATATTTCATAATTTCGCGTCGTATATTTGTATCGGTCCCGGTGTGTAAGGACCTTCAAATGTTCAAATGAAATCAGGACTTTTAACTAAAACATTTCCCCAGTTTTGGCTCAACTGTGGTGGCTCAGTTTATTCTAGGGATGATTTTATGTGTGTTTACTGTTTGCTGCTCTTTGAAATGTTTCTTCACAATGTTTCTTTTTTTTCTTTACACTTCAAACTCGGCAGATAGATTGGAAAGAAAATCTGTTCTTTTTTTTTGTTTGTTTTTTTTTTTTGTTTTTTTTTTGTTTTCTATCCTCTAGTAACATGGAACCTCTCACTAAAGCTTATAAGAGATACCAGCTGTTATTCTTCATTTTATGTTAGGATATTTGATGGTTGCCTAGATTGTTCTCAACCCTGGACTTGTGAGTGTGAAATAAAGTGTTACGTTTTAGTGAGTCAAGCTTAATAGTGTGATGGTAGTTTCATCAGGTGGCCATTAGATGTCACTGACAAGCTTCATTTCCTAACCCTGCAGTGGTTTCACAAAAAGTGTGCAAGCCTGACAAAAGCAAAAGGGACAGACAAAGTTAAAAAAAACATTAATAATGAAAAATGAAAATATGATCAGAAAACAAAGAATAAACCCAAACAGACGCTTAGAGGATAATGAGGTAAATATTAGACTACAGTAGAAAAGACCAAAATAATAACTATATTTTTAGGTCTGAAGGTGAAACTGAAAATGTATTTTATACTATAAAACAAAGCTGTACTTCAGAGTTTATCAGGGATTCAACATCTAATTTCACACCAGACCGGATACTAATACACTTTTATTTCCAATTTCAACCAAAACAAAGAACACAGTCAGTCCAGCTGACTCAGTATCAGGTCTTTTTTTTATCACTCCTTTTTTTTCCAATCCTTGAGATAAACCCACCAACAATGATGACTTGATCCTGAAACAGCAGCTGACCCGTGCCACAGCTCAGTCAAACTTCAAAGATGGATTTCATCCAGTCTGTGGTTTAAAGCTCCTGTGGTGAGTGTTTATCTGGCTGTAAAACAGATTCAAATGAATACCAGGGCACCGGTCTGCAGCACAGACCTCTCTCAAAGACAGTGCCCATTATTCCCGTAAATCTATTTTAGATGCATGTCACCTGTGCTGCAGGAGACATATAAGATGTTTGGTAGTTATCTAAATAGGGACAGATACTTCTTTCTTTTTCATTTCTATTTGCTGCTGACACAGGATGAGAGGACAAAACCAGATCAATCATTTAAACCTGCTTCCCAACAGGAGTCACCAAAATAGACACAACCCCAAAGTCCCTCTTTGACTAATTTTACAGGTGGGATCAGGTGGGATTCTTTAAAAAATGTCCTTTAACAAAAGAAAAGAAGATTTCCATGCGCTCTTCCAAACTCAGATAGGGGCTAATTAAAAGAAGAGCTCTTGATGTCAGAGCCAGCTGCCCCTGTTTGCAGTAGAGGTAAATAAAAACCTATTAGCTGCAATTGAACTGTAAACTGACAGTATGGGAGAAAAAAATAAAACTTTCTGAGAGAAAGGAAATAAAAAAACTAAAGGCAGGCCAGCTCCCTGTGTCTGAAACACTCTCTCTCTCTCACATACACACACACACACACACACACACACACTTTAACACACACACATTTGCACATGTTTCAGCAGACCGTCAGATCAAACAGGAGCAGATGACTGAGAGGTTTGCAGAGGTCTGTTTCTCTCTTGGCTTTTTCTGCAGCAGACCACGATGACTGTGATGGCGATGACGAGGGCTACGAGGAGGATGACGATGATACCAGCCAGAACCCCAGAACTCAGCTCTGCAGGGACAAGGTGATTCAGTCTTGTTATTGCTGTAAATGATTCTTGATTTTTTTATTCATTTTATCCAGGTCTTATTTCTTTTCTTGCCTTGTCTCACACTGCTGCTTTTACCCATGTTTTACTGCTTTACTCCATTTTATTGTTTTTACCTCCTGATTGGTTCACATTTTTTTCTAATCATCTATGATTGACCTTTTAGAGAGGAAGTGTGTAATATATGAGCCGCATGTATCAATGGTACAAAACATCCTAGTCCTGTGTTAGGCAGGCTTGGATGTTATTATTTGTTGCACTCATGACAGTGACTTTGTAAAATCAAGAAGTAAAAAAAGTGTGTGTGTGTCCATGCGTGAGTGTGTGTGTGTGTGTGTGTGTGTGTGTGTGTGTGTGTGTGTGTGTGTGTGTGTGTGTGTGTGTGTGTGTGTGTGTGTGAACCTCTGTCATGCTATTTTTAGGAGCTTTTTAGGAGCTGATAGAAATCAAAATATGGAAGCTTTGTGTTACTTGTGATGATACTCTGGGACGCTAAAGACTCTGGGGAAATATTTATCTCAGAATGTCAGTTACACTCTGGGAGTGGCCTCGAGGCCCACTGTCCTGCATGTTTTGGATGTTTCCCTGCTCCAACACACCTGATTCAAATGATCAGCTCGTTATTAAGCCATTACAGAGCTTGATAACGAGCTGATCATTTGAATCAGGTGTGTTGGAGCAGGGAAACATCCAAAACATGCAGGACAGTGGGCCTCCAGGACTGGAATTGAGAACCACTGCTCTATACCATCCAACAAAGCACCATTGTCATTTTGTTCCGACAAAGAGGGGACTCGGTATTTACTTACAGTTTATCACAAAGTTTTAAACAAAGAACTACTTTATAATGGTGAAAATCTCAGTGTTTAAAAGTATATTGTAAAACTTTTATGAGGAATGGGAAACTTGAAATTTCAAACTAAAGGTCCTTACACACCGGGGCCGACACGAATATAGAACGCAAAATCACGAAATATTTGGAGGCGAATTTTGACGTCTTACTATACACATCAAGCCCGATGCTATTTTGCGACTTTCTGGGGGAAAAAGACGCATCCCGGAGAAGACATTTGCTGGGGAAAGTCCCACCTCCTTCGCCTCTGATTGGCTAGAAAAGCTGGAAACGTCATCACACGCTCAAGCCAAACGGTCAGCACTTATAGCCAATTAGAGGCGAAGGAGGGCGGGACCTTCCCTTAACAACCAGCGTCCCGGGTAGAAGCGAGAGTACAAAATTGGAGTCTACTTCAACTTCAAGTGATGGAGAATTGGTACTCCTTTTGCTTTCTCAAAAGAAAAAGAAACGTAGCACATGGGTGCATCCAATATTACAAAAAAGAAGAGAACTTGGTGAGTTTCACTGCTTGGTTAAGGAGCTGAAACTGTACCACGGTCGCTTCAGAACCTATTTTTGGATGTCCGTTGGTCAATTTGAAGTTCTGCTGAAACAATTAGCTCCAAGTTTGAAGAGGCAGAGGACTAGACACTAGTGTTGAGATGGCTGTCTGTCATGATAGCATTTACTGAGTCGGGGCCAGTACCAGATAAGCACATGAAACTATGGCAACAACCGTTAGCTAACGTTAGCACAGATGAAAGTTAAAACAAAGGCATTTAGCAAACTGTTAAAGCACACAAACCATTGTCATATGAGAGATCCGACGCTATGTTGTCCTTCAAGTCGTTATCTTTGTAATATTTGTGTCTTTAATCAAAATGCACTCTGTTTCCAACACGTAAACAATCAGCCGGTCGGATATGTTGGATATGTTGCATATACCAGTGAATCTGACATCACAACAACACACAATATGATTGGTCAGAAGTGGACACACAGTATGTGAAACTTTAGAAAAATCGACCATGATCTGAAAAAATAAATGCCGCAATATCGCAGGAGGGGAAAACGTCGCTGATGTAAACGCTTGTATTGACAGGATACAGGTTCGAAAAAAAATATTGACGTCCGAAATAATCACACGACACCCGGCGTGTAAGGACCTTTAGAAAAGCAGTTTTGGCACAAAATACCTGGTCCATCAAGGGCTGTTCCAGCTGGAACAAATGCCATTTGCTATTAAGGCCCCACATTTGCTGCTCTTTTTAGCTAACTCCTGATTATATTAGCGCTGGCTCTAGTTTTTTTTTATCATATTGTGTACTGTATTGTATTTCTGGGTATCAAGATTACAGTACTCTGTATTGTGAATGTGCCCATGAATGTACACTGTCCCATCTAAATAAACAAGTAACTAAACTAAACTAAACTAAAAAATCTGCCAAAGACTGGGAAATGTTTTTCTCCTGACACCAAATAATTATTATTAGAGCAGCTAAAAAATATAATATAATCCACAGAACAAATGGGGCCCAAATATTTTCTAAATATTTTTCTCTGAGAGAAATCTTTAAATAAGTATCACATATAGGTCAAATCATCCATTCTTGAAAGAAACAAAGAAAGTTGTTGTGGTAAACAAGCTCTTATCGGCAGTGTGTGCCAGTGCTTTATATGGAGGTCCCCTGTTAGACAGGTAGATCTCATGCAAGGATCCAGGTCCCCTCTTGGCAATTTAAAAAATAAATAAATAAAAGTCCCATTTCAAGTAACATTTTGGTAACAGACCATAAAAGAAAATTTTCTATTATATTTTTGTTTTATTAAAATGACCAGAAATAGGAGACCACTCTTGGTCAGTCTGGGCTGACAGTCCACTGTTAGTCAGGTAAGCTTGCATATGTGTGTGTGTGTGTGTGTGTGTGTGTGTGTGTGTGTGTGTGTGTGTGTGTGTGTGTGTGTGTGTGTGTGTGTGTGTGTGTGTGTGTGTGTGTGTGTACCATGCGAAGTTTGGCTGTTTCCATGTGTTGTCTCACACAGCTGGCGGCTCCAGGCACCGTACTGCGTGTTCTTCGGTCTGCTCGGGATGTAGGCTGCCACCATAAAGCAGTAACTCTGACCTGGATCCAGTTTGGTCACCTCAGCTACACTGCTGTCAGCTGTATGGTCTTTCTGAGGGGTCAGAACAGCACATATTACAGCAGGCTACAGGATCCTTTTCATAACAGATTAATTCCACAAGAACTCTTGGTTTATTTTCTAGACTTGTCTTTGGGGAGAGAGCAGTGATGCAGTGATTTCCACTACAAAGTCCCGTTTGTTTTTAATGCAGTCCAGCCTGAGGGTCTAAAGTTTAGGATCATCCAGTCTTGGTTTTGGTCCCTGCCCCTTTTGTACAGAGATTTCTCCAAATTCTGTAGATGATGAAATTCACTCATTCTTTCACATTTGACTCTCAGGAACATTATTCTGAAACTGTTGAACTATTTGCTCACACTTAAAGGAAATGAAATTATAACAACACACAGCTGTGTGTATTTTGTTGACTCTGAAACTTGGTAATGTAGGACATTGAGGCCCTGATGTGGTGAGCTTGTACTTCACACATTTTATTTTTTGTTGGATTTTGTTTCCTGTGTGGGCTGTGTGCATGGTTGCTCACAGCCTCCCCATTCTACAGCAACAGACCAAAAAATGTAGCTAAATATGTTAGCATATGTTATTCAAAGGGGACCTGCCACCAAAATTTCATACCAATTTTTATCATTTTTTCATAATCCTTGATGTCCTCTGATCATGTTTGCAACATAATTTTAGCTGAAAAGTTATTTGATGGTTTGTTTTAGTATGCCTAAAAAACCTTACAGGAAAACCAACTGGTTTTGGCTCATTAACATTTATGGTAATGAGCTTTGCTCTGATTGGATCGCTGCTGTGAAGCCTGCTGTGCTCTGATTGGCTCAGCAGTGGAGGTTCGGATTTCGGTTTATCCATTGTTATTATGCTAATGCTAATAGCATATGCTAATGTGTGCTAAAGTAAGGTGCCCAGATGTCTGTAATGATATCCGGGGATATTCGGTGCGGCGGCGGCGCACCGACAACACGCATAGCCATCAGATAGCCATCTCAACAATACGGGGGCGTAATAACCCCGTAAGAACTGTTGTTCAGGACTGCTAACCTGTGCTTCCTACATATTCGGCTACTGTAATAACCATTGTTCGAGCCCACACGCAACATTTTTGCTCTCATTAATGAAACGCTTAAATCGGGGACATTTTCGGGGATAGCTTTTGCCGGGGACAGGTCATCCAATACAGGGACTGTCCCCGGAAATCGGGGACGTCTGGTCACCTTATGCTAAAGGCTAAAAATGGCAGGTATTAAACCATATTTTAGACCCCGAGTCCGAAGAGGAGGTGGAAGTTGAGGAAGAAGCCGGAGATCTCCAGCGGTGTTTTCTCATTCATTCTGCCCAGCTTTAAGATCATTTCCCGGCAGTGAACCGAAGGAAACACCAGTCGTTTGGAAGAGACCCATAGCGGACACAGCGGTAGCTGGGTCTCGCTCTGGCTGTGACTGAGTACGAGAACGAGAGAGTGGGCGTGGCTCACCGAGGACGCGCTCGTGAATAATAATGAGCAACGTCGGCGCAACGTAACACCGACCTGCTTTTCCAATTGGCCTGGTTTACTCGTTCCTTTATTTTAAACCTTTACAGAATGCAAACGACGTAACGGTTTGTTTTCACATGTACAACATAAGACGAACATCATATGGACCTTATCTGACACAAAAAACACAGAAAATTACATTTTTATGGCAGGTCCCCTTTAAGGCCAATTCCTTATATTGCCCACCAACCCCTCTATAAAGGAGGTGACAGATGATATTCTTATTTTTTGTATTTTCCTTGATCACTCTAGGGTCCTTTCACACTGGGAGCGTTTTTGTGCGATTATTTCGGACGTCAATATTTTTTTTTTAACCCGTATCCTGTCGATACACGCGTTCACATCAGCGACGTTTTCCTTTCCTGCGATATTGCAGCATTTATTTTTTCAGATCATGGTTGATTTTTCTAAAGTTTCGCATACCGTGTGTCCACTTCTGACCAATAAGATTGCGTGTTGTTGCAACGTCTGATTCACCGGTATATCCAACTTCGCTGATTGTTTACGTGTCAGAGAACAGAGTGCTTTCTGATAAAAAAACACAAATATTACAGAGATAACGAACTGAAGGACAACTTGTGGAGAGTCATAGCATCGGATTTCTCATAATGACGATGGTTTGTGTGCTTTAACAGTTTGCTAAACGTCTTTGTTTTAACTTTCATCTGTGCTAAGTAACTTTAGCTTGTAACCTTACCTTACGTTACCTTACCTTACGTTTATGGATTATAGTTTAATGTGCTTATCTGGTACTGGCCCCGACTCAGTACATGCTATCATGACAGATAGCCATCTCAACACTAGTGTCTAATTAGAACTGAAAAACAGTCAGTCTGCTGTTGTGTCAGTCTTCTCACTTCCACTTGGAACACGTCTTTTTCCCCCCGGAAAGTGGCAAAATTGCATCGGGCTTGATGTGTATAATCAGGCGCGTCAAAATTCGCCTCCAAATATTTCGTAATTTTGCGTCGTGTATTTGCGTCGGCCCTGGTGTGTAAGGAACTCCGTAATGATCACAGTTAGCGTACAGTTACTGTGGAAAATACTTTTGCTACGTCTAGTGACAGAAAGCACCAGATGACACAACTATAATTCACACAAGGCGTCATGGGGGCTGGGAATAAGGTGGATAACAGCTTTTAACCTGTTTGGTTGTTCCTCTAGCTACATTTAAGAGCAGATATTTTTCATGATTGAAAACCTTTTTCAGTTTTAACATTTAATATGATATCTTGCTTTATTTTTTATTTAATATAAACTTTAACTGGTTTGCATGTCACTAAAATCGTTTTTATTTATTTTTTTTTTAATCAACATTTAAACAGTGTCCAAACATTTGATGAAATATGGGTTAATTCCCTGAGCTTAATTTGGGAGTGAACAAGATCGCTGTACCTTGCGTGTACTTCCAGACTTGTAGTAGTTAATCTTGTACTTGAGGTCTTTTTTGAAAATGTCTCTGATGGAGAGCTGCTTCACACCCTCGTGAATGTTGGTCAGGATGTCAGTGATGTTGAGCAGCACTGCGCTCTCATTTACTGCCCGCACAGTAAACTCCACTGCACTGATGTTACCTGAGGAGAGGACACATTTGCAGATATGATGAAAGTGCGTGCGTGCGTGCGTGCGTGCGTGCGTGCGTGCATGTGTACTCACTCTCTTTGTAGGGGTTGAATGGTTTGGACTCGGTGTGCTGAAACTCCTCAGTGCCATAGTCGCCGGGCGTCGGGTTTTCATGGTCAGTGAGGACATCAGCAGTGAAAGACCTGTCAGTTAGACACAGAAACTTATGATACATATTTATCAAGCACAGTGTCAGGACACTGGACAGAATGACAATATGAAGCTACATTAAAAAGTCATGAGTCTGAACTGTTGCTTTATGAAGACGTGATGTCATCTTATAGGTCAATGAGAAGGATTAAAGGGATATTCCGTCGTAAAATTAATTTAGGGTCAAACACACCATAACACCGAGTTAGACACCCCCTCGAGGGATTGCCGACCGCTTGCTTCTCTAGTTATACAAACTTTAGTAACGTTTGCAGGATAGCAATAGACAGCGGTCTGAGGAGCCATAAACAAACCTCAACCAATAAGCCACTCTATAGCCACAAATATTGCTCAGAACAGAACTAAACTTCATCAAAAGTACATGTAGGTCCCAGCCATAGTACTAGCCACCAAACATCTTTTTAACTTTGCCTGATTTCTTTAGCAAAGAGACTAAACAAAACTCACTCACTCTCCTCCAGCAGCCGCTTGTTTGTAGTGAGACCTCAGGCCAGTCCATCATGGACTACAACGGGGTGACGCAGCTCAAGGAAGAACATTTATGACTATTTCTTAATAATTTCTTTGAAGTAATAATCATCATATTAATCATTTTGCACTGCAGACGCAGTAGTTCTGCCTCAGCGTCTCGGTCTTGTTGCAGTTTCCATAAAGAAATAATTTGCAAGGCATTATATGTGGCTATAGAGTGGCGTTTTGGTTGAGGTTTGTTTATGGCTCCTCAGACCGCTGTGTATTGCTATCCTGCGGTCATTACTAAAGTTGGTTTAACTAGAGAACCAAGCATTCGGCAACATTCATCTCTCAAGAGGGTGTCTAACTCTGCGTTACAGTGTTTTAAACCCTAAATTAATTTTACGTCGGAATATCCCTTTAAGTTACAGGAGAACAACATTTCTACATTAAAATCCCTCAACAAATTCTGATGTTGCAACAGAGGACTGAGCCTAATAATCCCTGTGCATGAGCAGGGTCACTTGCAGCAATGCAAACTGTGGAGAAAACAGCAAATGCAAAATATATATAAAAATAAAAGCATAAAGCTTTTCAAACAATAGATCATTGTGAACTTGTAACATTTTTTGTACAAGTTCAGATAAAGATCTGCACATATTGACAGTTTGTCCACATGTTTACATTGCTCCATGCAATTGCACAAATATGTTTTGCACCAAATATGCTGCAACAATAGGAGCAAAAATGTGAGTGTGTCAGAGTTTTAATCTGTGACTTATAAAATAAGATTTGTGCATCTGTAATTAAGATTTGTGAATGAGTAAATGTTGTGTTGTACTTGTGGAAAAAAAAAATCTACAAGTACACAACTCATAGAGTGCGGATTTCACATTTACTAAAACACAAACACATTTTCTGTACACGACTACAAATCACATGTTACAGATGCACAAACTTTTTGCACCCAAAGTACCTTAAAAGGTGGGCAGCAGTTTGGAGGGTGTCTTCAAAACTTTTTGCTGAGAGATACAGTGAAGTCTTAGTCCATCACTGAATAGAAGTCAGTTTTAATTATCTTCTGTATCCTGCAAGGGTCTGAACACATCCAAATGCCATCAGACTAAATCTGTTTACATCTTTGATTCATCTCAGAAAGTTTAATCCCTGACTTTTTTTTTGCAGTGAAATAAGAGAATTAAAATCTGAGTAAAATGATTCAGCTTTAAGTGTTTTACACTTCAGTATTGTCTCATCATATTTCAAAGTAATGCACTTGATCAGCTCCATCTAGATGTTATTATAGAGACGGAAAAAAAAAAAATTTCTAGATACAATGGGAAATAAAAACTAAAGGTCGAGTGAGGACCCATCTCTGCTTAGCTTTTACTCTAAATAATTTGTTAACGTCTTCTGACTTAAAAAATCTCATCCTGCTGACCTTTGACAGCAAAATGTGTTAATTTTGTAGAAAATTTAATGAAAGAAATGTAAAAAAAAAAAAAAGTGTTAAACTTGTCACAGATGGTCCTGCTTGCTTTTGTATATCTTAAGAAAAAGCACCAATATGAACTTAAGCGTATTTCATAAATATAAAAAAAGACTCCTTACAGGAGCTTTAACAAAGCTTAATTGACCTACCGTTGTAAGGCTTTGAGCTCGATGGTCATATCACACTCTGACCTGGACAATTGATAACACTCAGGATGATCCTCCCAATCACTGAAATCCCTGAAAGTCACATGTCCAAAATGAACACAATACAAATGTCACACACGGAGCATGCTTTCATGGGGGCTGAACACAGTAAAAAATCTAAAGAAATACCACACAAATCTTTGCAATAACAGTTTACAAGTTTCTTTGTGAATAAATATGCCGAGAGCACACAGCTGATTGGTGCAGGATCTCATGATAACTTAACATTCAGGACAAATCAGCTGTTGATCTTTTCTTTTTTGCTGCAAACATGGTTGTACTCCACCTGCATGATAGTTCCTGTTCAGTCTTAATACCAGTAGTATCTGTCAGTTCACTTAAGTTATAGTTAGCGGTTGTGTGCCCTTAGCAAGGCATGAGTGCATCTAAAGAAAGAAAAAAATATCTTATTATCAGAGGTGGCTCATGCTGCTTACTAATGCCAAAACTGTAACTCTGGTTTACACTCTGATCTCAAAGACTTTTATCTGTTTCGAGATACTGTAGCGACCGGTGGAGTCGCCCCCTGCTGGCCTTTAGAAAGACAGCAGGTCTGTGTGAGTTCTCTTCTTATAAATGCTGTAAGTTTTGAGTAGTCAGGCCTCAGTGGACCACACTGCAGGAGATCTCTCTGCCAAAACAAGCACTGCCTGTAATCCGCTTCAATAAGAGGGTTATTATGTGATCCAGGCTCAACTTTCCCAGCATTGAACCAGCCGTCTAAGACAGACAAACACGTTCCAGATTACTCCCAGTGTCGTGCACCATGTAGTAAAGTGCCTGTCCTAATGTTTACAATACCCCTGCAGACCTCCGACCAAATAAGCGCTTCTTGATTTTTAACTACACAGTTGGTAAAAACGTGTATTTTCTAGTGCTTCAATTAAATGTTATTTTCATGTCTCACTCACAATCACACTCAAGATTCACTGCAAGGCCGGAGCAGTGGACAACACTCATTATTCCTTTTTGGGACAGTCAACCCCGAGAGTTTGACCTATGTAACCACATCAGCACAGTTTACTTAAAATGCACCAATAAAGGTCCTTTCACACCGGGAGCACTTTTTTAAGTGCGGTTATTTCGGACGTCAATATTTTTTTTAGAACCCGTATCCTGTCAATACAATCGTTCACATTAGCAACGTTTTCCTGCAATATTGCAGCATTTCTTTTTTTCGTATCACGGTCGATTTTTCTATAGTTTCACTTACTGTGTGTCCACTTCTGACCAATCAGATTTCATGTTGTTGCGATGGCAGATTCACTGGTATTTCCAACATGGCCGACCGGCTACTTGTTTACGTGTCGGAGAACAAAGTGCTTTTTGATAAAAGACACCAACATTACAAAGATAACGACCTGAAGGACAACTTGCGGAGAGTCATAGCGTCGGATTTCTCATATGACGATAGTTTGTGTGCTTTAACAGTTTGCTAAACGTCTTTGTTTTAACTTTCATAAGTAACTTTAGCTCGTAAGCTAACCTGTTCAGATACAACATACCATATGTATTTTCACTGTCTCAAACTTTATCGCGTTGCTGTCACAGCACCATTAGGTCTCGGTTGTTACCTTACGTTTATGGATTATAGTTTAATGTGCTTATCTGGTACTGGCCCCGACTCAGTACATGCTATCATGACAGACAGCCATCTCAACACTAGTGCCCCCCCCCCCCCCAGAAAGTCACAAAATTGCATCATGCTTGATGTGTATAGTCAGGCGTGTCAAAATTTGCCTCCAAATATTTCGGAATTTTGTGTCGTATATTTGTGTCATTCCCAGTGTTTAAGGACCTTAATAGTCAAAAATACATCAAAAGCTGAGAAATGTACAAGAACTGTGAATTTGATAATTTTTGTATTTTGTATACAGAAAGTGATGTATGACAACGCCTTTTTTTGGTGTGTGTGTGTGTGTGTGTGTGTGTGTGTGTGTGTGTGTGTGTGTGTGTGTGTGTGTGTGTGTGTGTGTGGACTCACCAGGAATAGCGAACACTGTATGTTAGTTGAGGTGTCTTGGTGGTCCAGGTGAGCATGGTTTTGAAGTCCAGAGAGGTCCAGCGTACATTCTCAGCTTTGGAGTCCTGTACTGTGAATAAAGCGCAGCATTACTCTCTGTACAGTATGAACTCTGATTCTGCTCACTACCTGGTTTAATTTGGTTCCAAGGAGTATTGTACAGAGATGAGGTTCAACTTTAAAAACAGGAAAAATAACACAAAAGAACATACACAACAGGCCCTGAAAACCCCCTCCCCTGGCCTCTGCTTGCTCATAAACAGACCATAATTAAAGTCAGACTTTTACTGTGAGCACTGCTGAACATCAGCCAAAACTCAGACTCAACAAAGGACTTTTTTTTCTTTCCTAAGGGTGGGCCTCATTTGACATGTTTTGGAATTAAAATGCCAAATGAGGACAAATACCTCAGTAACTGTTCCAAGGATTCATTCATTCAACAAGACAGGATCATCATTGTAGCATCTCTGTTTTACTATGTTTGACCTGATCTGAGCAAAAACTCAAAACTGTTTGGACCATGAAGACACGACTGTGGTGCTGCAGTGCACCCAGTCTTTTTCAGATGTTTCAATGCATAAACAATAACAGATATAATCATTATGGAGGCTTGTTATTCAGCAGCTATGGCCGCTACTTATGTTGTAATATCACAGTGGCACAAACCTGGTGTTGGGTCTGCCAGAGGTCCACAGTGATTTGAATGCAGAAATGCTCAGAAATGTAATTTTGCTCTTTTCTCATGATGTGTCCTCTAGCATCAGAAAAGTGCCATATGAACATGTAGACAACAAGAAAAACGTGATTTTCATCAGAGTGGGTCTTTAAAAACGACAACAGTGGAATAATCATCCTTGTTGCTGATGCTCTCATCTGTTTCTAAATGACCTAAACAAGCATTCATGTTAGTTTTAAGGTCCCTACAATTTTTTTTTTTCAAAACCGTATCCTGTCAATACAAATGTTCACATCAGCGACGTTTCTCGTCCTGCAATATTGAGGCATTTATTTTTTCGTATCACTGCCGAATTTTCTAAAGATTCGCATACCGTGTGTCCACTTCTGACCATTAAGATTTTGTGTTGTTGCGACGTCAGATTCACCAGTATATCCAACATGGCCGACCGGCTGATTGTTTACATGTTGGAGAACAGAGTGCTTTTTGATAAAAGACACAAATATTACAAAGATAACGACCTGAAGGACAACCTGTGGAGAGTCATAGGGCTCTATTTTCGTTCGCGCCGGTGAGGCGGCGGAGGGCGGCGAGCCCCGCGCAGTTGTATTTTCGTCTGGCGGAGCCCAGCGTAAGGCCAATTTGGTATTTTCGTGGCATGAGCCGCACGGAGGCGAGCCGAGATCCGCCAAGCTGGGCGTGGTGGTGTGGCAGGGGGAGGTGTCGACAGAATCAGCAGGCGCAGTGACATTTTCGTGCTCGCCACCGGCGTGTAAAGTGCGCTGAAAGCTCGCCGATTCAAACCTGGTCAGCTTTCAGCGCAAGGCGGAACGCAGCTGGTCCAGTAGTATTTTGGTAGACCAGCGGCGTATCGACATACGTCACTGATGCCTCACCGGCAGGTTTCCACAGTGTCAGGCACATTTCAGTGCAATAAATAATCATCATCAACTATTAATCTGAGTCAGCACATACATTTAGATCTATATCGATATATTCTGATCTATATCTGATCTGATGAGCGCGTTTGGCACGCGTTTGGACACACAACCTGACCGAATCAACACAGCTGAAACTGCATCAAATTAAATTAAATATCTAGTGAATAAACACACATGATGAAGTTAACAAGATATGTAATTCATCTCCCTCCTTTTCTTTCTTCCTCTTCCTCTTATTTCTCGCACAGCTCGACCTGGACACGTCTCCGTGTCCTCTGTCCGTCTTGCTGCTGCTGCAGCTGAACAGATGATTTGTTTCAGTGCTCAGATGCGTTATCTACTTTAAGCCGACATACGGATATTATAATATTCAGTTTTGTGAGCCAAATTTATTTTATATGCCAACATCTATGAAAGAAAGAGCCAGGCCACGGAGCGCGATGCGTCATTTACGCACAGATGGTTCCGATTTTAATGCCATTTTTGGAGTTAATGTTGTGATCTGTGCGCTCAACCCACCTTTGTCACGTGAGGTTTGAATATGAGCAACTTTATGTGAGTGTCTTTATTTGTGGAAAAGGGTGTTTGTCTTACCACTGGGTCCAACATTACGCACACTAAATCCATCTGTGCTCATATGAGAGAGTGTGGAGGACACTTGTTGAGGAGCTGCCCTCTGTCGCCATCTTGTGGCATTACTGTCTTAAGACATCTCTTGATCTCTTTGACTACTTCATGAAAATAGTAATACGCCTCGCCTGTGGCGGATTTAAAGGCAAGGAGAGGAGCCTATGTGATTGGTGAAAACAGGTCTCGGCTGTGTTAAACCCACTAACCGCCCTTTCTACGACTTATGGTGCTGGGAGGAGCTGAGTTAGGGAGGGGGGATACTTACGCCGGGCTGCGCGGCTCACCAAAATACCAAAATGTGCTTGGGAACGCCTTGTCAGCGCGGCGGATCTGATTGACGCTGCGCTTGCGGCAGATCTCCGGCGAGGCACCAAAATAGAGCCCATAGTGTTGGATTTCTCATATGACAATGGTTTGTGTGCTTTAACAGTTTGCTAAACATCTTTGTTTTAACTTTCATCTGTGCTAAGTAAATTTAGCTCGTAAGCTAACCTGTTCAGATACAACATACCATATGTATTTTCACTGTCTCAAACTCAATCGCGTTGCTGTCACAGTGCTGTGCTTATCTGGTACTGGCCCCGACTCAGAACATGCTATCATGACAGACAGCCATCTCAACACTAGTGTCTAATCAGAACTGAAAAACAGTCAGTCTGCTGTTGTGTCAGTCTTCTCGCTTCCACCCAGGACGCGTCTTTTTTTCCCCTGGAAAGTCGCAAAATCGCATCGCACTAGATGTGTATAGTCAGGCGCGTCAGAATTCGCCTCAGAATATTTTGTAATCGCTTCATATATTTACGTTGTTTCCGGTGTGTAAGGACCTTTAGTCTCTCTTTAAACCAGGTTAAAACTCCTTATGGTGCCTTAAATTCACAAATATCATTATTTTTTTCAATAGTCTGATGTTACTTAACAGTTATTGTAGCATTTCTGCAGCCAGTGTGATTTATGACAACTTTTTACCCAACAAAGGTGACTTTACTCAGCAAATTACTGTTCTGGACAAAAGCTTAAAATCAAACCACTGTGTGGAAACAAGAGACTGGAAGAAGAAAAAGAGACAAGTGTGGGCTTTTGTTTACAAAATGTAACATAAATATAGCTAATATAGAGCTGATACAGCCCTCAGTTTATCATTTTTCTATCTATTTTGGGTAACAATGGCAAAAGCTGAAGCAGCTCTTAAAGGGGGGGACTGTTTTTATGCATGTCTGGCTAAGGAACTGCATGTTTTTCATGAAAGTAATACACTGACTCAGTGCTCTGGTGTGTTTGAAAGAAGTGTTGAAACATTGTGTTCTCCCATGTCAGGTATTGGTACGGATTGGTCAGTACCAGCCTCTCTGTTGGCTCATGGATGGATTTCTGCCGCATTTTTTAAATACCTCCACACAGCAGGAGGAGAAGAGCAAGCTGTATAAAATTACAAAGATGATCCTGGGAGGAAGCAGTCTACCAAACCTCAGGACATTTCCCTTTATTAGATTTAATGTCTGTGATTATCTGCCCTCTACATTTAACTTCCACCACGAGTGTGAATGAAGAAACTGAACTTCTTGTTCTTTCTGCTTTGTTGCCATGTTAGCTAAGCCTGAATGATTGTTTACAGGAGAGGTTTTTTATTGTCGTTGGTTCCTTAAACAGCTTTAATGCAACAGAGACTGGATTCAGCTCTCACAACAACAAGGAGAAATTGAGATGGAGGCTGGACTCCTCAGGTAGGTTCAAATCTGTGAATCTGAGATTAGGTTTTTATTGTTCACTGAATTCATCTGTTAAAGCAGTGGTTCTCAAGTCCAGTCCTCGAGCCCCCCCGTCCTGCATGTTTTGGATGTTTCCCTGCTGCAACACACCTGATTCAAATGATCAGCTTGTTATCAAGCTCTGTAATGGCTTAATAACGAGCTAATCATTTGACTCAGGTGTGTTGGAGCAGGGAAACATCCAAAACATGCAGGACAGTGGGCCTCGAGGACTGGACTTGAGTTAAAGGAAAGACTGAAGGAAAGGAAAATCACAGATGTGAAGGTTGTCAGGGTGACTAACTGTAAAAACGCTGATCTTCATACATTCAAGCTGTTAAGCTTAACTTGTTTCTGATCATGTTTAACTTTTGGATTTTGCTCTTTTTATTTTGTGTTCCTCTCGGGTGTAATATCCTGTTTTGATAGTCTTAATAGTTTATGTCTTTCTTGTGTAAAGCACTTAGATTATAAATTAAAAGGTGTTTACTGCTTGGATGTTATTATAAGTGTATATCTTATAAAAAGATGACTTCTATTTAATACTCCTCTGTAATAGTTGTCACATTTACTCATGACTTTACAGTTGGAAGTAAAATCATAAATTCTAAAAAACTGAAACTCACACTGCTGTGGTTTTTTTCTGAATTTTGTAGCTGTAGTTGCTTTAACCCTCACTGTGTTTTTAACCTCTTTCCTCCTCTAATGTGACAGTTTTCCCCTTTGATTGAAAAACAAACTTCCAGTTGACTTGTTTGAGTTGCAGTTTGTTTATATGTTGAGTGAGCTACATAGTTTGGACCTTAGGGACCTGAAAACTAAACTAAGTCTGGAGAGACAGTTACAACCGAAGCGTTTCCGTAAACTCTACATGACTTTTCTTTTCCAACACTGCAGGCCTGCACGGTCATCTCACATTTGAAAACTGACCAACCACAGGCTATTGTTCTGAACACTATTCCTCCTCCTGTTTTTGCATTTATACATAACAATTATAAGATCTTTAGATGGCACATTTCCATTCTATGATTTTTTGCACACAAAACAGAGTTTTAATGAAGGTCCTGTAGCTGATATCAAATGAACACATGAACAACATACGCCATAGACCTAAACCTTTCCACACACACTGATAAAAACTTACATATTTACCATTCTCCAAAATTATCTTTGGTAGCAATGAAAAGTGACTATTTTTAACTTTAAGAGGAAACTTATATTCATGTGGAAATACTGAGATGATTTCTTTGCAGTGGAATAAAGACAAAAATGTTAAATTGATTGGTTCTGTACATGGTTAATATCTATGTTGTAGGCTGTGCTCTTGCTAGCATTTGTTGACTTAGGGTGATTTTACACCTGAAGGTCAAGACCAAGGTCTGAACCAAGGTCTGTGTTTGTGTTACATTGTATATAGGGCTGAAACGTTTCCTCAAATACTTTGAGTACCTCGATTACAAATAATGATCAAGGAATTTTCTCTGCCTCGAGTACTCGTTTATAAGCTCAAATCATCCAAAAATTCGGAGCGGAAAAAGTAAATGTAGTGTTTGCCAACCTAGCGACTTAAGCTTCTCCTCCTCTTTCCAATCCTCCGGGGGGGGGTTGACTGAGAAATTATGCGATGACGTCATCTAGCGACTTCAAGCTCCTTTCCTTACTGAGGAGTTGGCAACACTGTTTTCTTGTGCAGAGCTCCAGTAGCTCATTAGCACTTAGCCTCTGAGTCGTGGGTGGAGACAGCGCTGCTCGGCACACTTCTCTTCACACTTGCTTGTAGCCTAACATTGCTGGTGTTGTAGCAAAGGCAGGTCACATCGGAGGTATTCAGCTCTCGGACACTAATGTCTTTAGGGGCATAATCAAAGTTAATATCATAATTAGCTTTCTTACGAGCATTGCAATCCACTAACGCACACGCTTGTTCCACGATTGTCCTATATTTCTCCAAGTCTGGCCTTCATTGCGGGGCTATAGGAAATCTAACTTTATGTGAGTCTGCCGTTTGGCGATTATTAAAATATTCGATAGCCGCAGCCCCAATTGTATACATTTGGTTCGGTCTGTTAAGGTTTCACACTGTCATTATTGCAAACAGACTAACAGACCTTACATGATGAACCCACGCAATATCATCAACTACGTGCTCTGCATGTCTCTGTAGTTTACATTGATTGGTCATTTGGCCGGCGGGCATCTGACCTCAACACGTTGAATAACGCAGGTCTTGAATATTGTAAACATTAATAAAATCGTCATTCCCCCCATCATATTACTGTTGATTTTTAACTACCAACAGCAATAACTTTAAGAGCTGTACATGAGGCTGGTCCAAGTTCATCTTATGAATTTTATCATTAGACGACAACTTTATCAACATCGACAGGAAAGGAAAAGAAAGTATACAATCCTCAGAGCCACTGCAGCAACAACTCTGGAGAGAAAGTCTTTATTGTAAAACTCTTGAAAAGATAAGCTGTCAATGCTGAGGTGTCTACAATATTGTAAAATTTTCAGTTCGTGGACAATCTCCATTACGCATAATAACGGACACTTGTACTCCTCGTGTCATTTCCTGTCTTTGGTATGAAGGTCCGAGCCTTTCAAAATAATGCTTTCATACTGGGCATGAACCTGATACGGTTCAGTTTGGTCCGGACCGAGACCACCTCTTTTGGTTGGACCAAGCCCGGCTGTCTGGTCCAGACCAAGGTCCTGGGGTAGGGAGGTTTCACACCTATCATTTTGGTTCAGACTAAATAGAAAAGTCTGAAAATCTGGACCAAACGAAGTAGGTGTGAAAGCCTTATTAGGGCGCGTTCACACCACCCTCGTTCAGTCTGGTTGGACCGAACCCTGGAGCGTTTACCCCCTTGGTGCGGTTCCTCTGGGTCGGTGTGAACGCTGACCTCAAACTCTGTTGCGGACCAAAGAAACGAACTCTGGTCCGCCTGAAGAGGGGCTCTCGGACCACTATCAAGTGAACTCTGGAGTGGTTCATTCCTGGTGTGAACATCATCCACACCAATCACAGAAAACGCACCACACACTCTCATTAATGCCTGTCGCCGTCTTGTCTTTATCCGTCTGTTGTTTGCAGCACGTCTACTCTGGAACGTATTAATTAATGCTGCAGTTCGCTGGCTAACGAGCCGTTCATATGCACGATCGACTAGCGTCTTTTGATACGCGCTCCAGATGAGTAGCAAAAGCAAAGTCAGCCTACGATACTCCATGACAGGTGAAGACAGCAGAGCGGGGTTTGTATTCCAGCAGGAACTAATGACCAATAACCGAACAGTATTCGTGGTCACGTGACTTCCAGTTCTGTTTCCTGGAGCGATTGAGTTTGTGCTTTGTGAACACAAACCGGACCAGTTAAACAATCAAACAAATGTATCATCTTGCCTTGGATTCGAATCAGGAAATGGACCTTTAGGTGTGAACACGACCTTAGTGACCCTGTCAGTGACATTATAAAGCATAGTTTTTATGTGACACTGGATTTCAAAGATTCAAGCTGGGCTCTGCTTGAAATGTTACCAGTCAGCTAGTGAACTTGAAGCTTTTAGAAAATGCTGACTCATGATGACTTGAATATGATATCAGGGGGGTGTTGTCGTGACAATATTGTCCCCATTTGAAGGCAGCATTAATACATGAATCAGATTTTAAACAAACTGACAATGAAAACTGTGGTGAAATGTTATCTCTTCAGTGCTGTGATGAATAACAATGGGGCAAAATTGTTATCTCTGTTCAGGTGATACCAATAACAGTTTTTTCCCCGTTTCGAATCAATCATTGATCTGCAACAAGTGAGCCGCTTGTCACCGACTCCATTCATCTCTTCCTTTGTCATTGGATGAGTTTGTTTTAACTGTGCATGTCAGTAAGGAGTTAAAACTAGCTAGCTACTTAAAACTAGCTAGCTATTAGCTATCCGATCCAAAGCCTTACATAACTCATTACAACCTGCAGTCTCAACTGTGGAAAGAAAGAAAGAAAGAAAGAAAGAAAGAAAGAAAGAAATGAGCGGTTGCACGTTTTTTTGTGACAAGACAAAGAGTGTCACCTCTGATGAAGACGAAGTGCTCTGTGAGAAAAGATAGGAGGAAAAAAAAGGCCTGAAATCACCCCACTATGTCTGCTCAGGGAAATAAGGACGTAGAATGATGGTCTAACTGGAAAACACAATTACTCTATAAATGTAACAACTGCCACACTCTGATTTATGTGTAGGATCAGGTCTCAACAGTTTTGTGATATGGTAACATTTTTTCACAAGGTAGCAAAACTCCCCATAACACCTAACAATTAGTATGTATAAACAGAGCCGAGCCTTTACAGGGTGCACATTCAACTCCTCCCTCTAAAATCAAATGTAGGATTTCTTCAGACTCACATCCAGACTCTAAGTCTTTCAGATAATAATATTAGAGTTCAGTTAAATGGAGAAGCACACAGAGAAAAGGGGTCCGATGTTTTTTGAAGGGAGACTTAGTACACTTTTCATCATGATTTTTTGGCAAGTTAATTGAATAAAAATTCAATCAATCAGAGAGAAATAATCATAAAAAAGTTTTGACTCAGGCTTTTTTCCTGAATGGATCCCTAACCCCTATATAGGTGACTATATGGGGGTGTCCGAAACCTCAGTGATCAATTCCGGTGCCCCATATAAGCGAATCAAAATTTTCCATAGAGCATTGCAAAATGTAGTGACCATCCGATGGTCACTCACCGGTGGTGGGCATCCCGTCATGCATTGCGTCATGCCATGTAGTGTCCAAAATCTCTGGTGATTGAGTTCACCACATAGTCAACTATACAGTGAAACCCCATATGGGGGTTAGGGGTTAGGGATTGAGTTTTTTTATCAGACACAGCCTCAATCATCAACTAAAATCAGACCTAAAAACACAGATTAAAATGAGGCCACAATAAAGACCGAGTCCCTCTGAGTACGTCTAAACTGAAATATGACTAAAATTTACTTGACCATGACTGAGACTTGAATTAAATTCATGACTCATTAGAATTAATGCTGTAGGCTTTACTGACATTTTTTTATTAATGTTTTGTCTTTGCTAAAGCACCCAGCTGCATCTCAGTCTGTTTGAGGGGCGAGGCTGGAAAAATAAAGGGGCCCCTCCTCTATGATTTGGAGTAGCAGCACAAAGAAAGCTGTGATTACTGGAGATCTAACTTTAGCGGCATTTCAACGACTTTTTTGTGGCTCCACAAACTTGTGTCTGTCCTCTGCATTAGGTGGTCATCAGTGGAACAACAAAAGTGTGTCCTAGCCTGTCAGAAACAGTGGTGGGCTAGTAAAAGTTTCCTGTTTGACAGCAGGTGGACTGGAGGTTAAAAAACTGGGGCAGTTTTTTCTAACCCCTGATACCCATCGCTTGGGATTCATTGACACATATTGAGGCACAATAATAAGAGGGGGGTCAGGGGTCCTCTAATACTTAATAATTCAGAGCATTAAAGCATTAAAAACTAAAAAGGCGTCCACATGGCACTTGGGACCAACTACTGCAGGATTTTCTATGTATATACACATGGAAAAGGCACCAGAGGAGGCATTTCATTATGTTATTATGTTCATTATGCATGTTATACAAACTACCAGAGCATCTATGAGGCCACATTCACAGTATTTTTTCAGACAAGGGGTTGGTCAGTTTAGGGGTGCTAACTTTGTCGAAGTTGATCCATAAAATCTAACAGAAGATAAAATCAAATCACTTGTTAAAACCTTTGCAAAACAGTAGAATTTTTGGAAAAAATGAAAAGAAGCATTGTCTGTCCATCCATCCTCAATAACTGTGTCTCTCTGCTCTTACCTTCAGCAGTGATGATCCCAGCAGACAGACAGATTCCCAGATAAATCAGTGCTCTCAGATGTCCCATGTCAGACTCAGCAGAGTATAAATCCTTCCTCCTTTAATCCTGTTTTTCTCCCTGAACTCAGAAAGAAACTTTGAACTTTCCTGTCTGCAGAGTCTCCTCCTAAGATTCCTGTTTCTGGTCCACGGCACAGTGTGGGACCTCTGGATGGGGGACCGTTTTAGGATCCGCCTGCTGGTCCCGCCCACATTCCTGCACGCTGATGAAGGTTTCAGCTGCTCATTCTAAGCCCTGCCTCCTTTTCAGCCCAGCACAGACTAAGAACATGAATATCATGTGCTGACACACAACATGACGGTCTGTTCATCAGAGTGTTACTCACTGCATTAGACAGAAAAGTGAGTAACGGTGAAGAGACTCTGACAGGAAGTAAAACACTGGAACCTTTAAGGAGACGGAGATTCTCATGCAGCTCGAGTTCTCAGCTGAGGGGCTGTGAAAACAAAAACAGGCTTCAACTGGCCCACATGGGACTCTGTGCACCAACTGTCAAGGCAACAGGGAATAAAACTCAGCTTTACATGCAAGGTCTGGGTTTGAGTTCAACAGGAAGCTGATTCATCCTCACCAAACTCACACAGCAACACTGACCACTCTGATTCATGCAAATGTTGTTGATGCATGAAATCAAAAACAAAGAAAACATCTGAGTTTGATGCGGGTCAGGAAATAATTAAAAAACACCATCACCCAGCTTTCTTACGAGTTGCTCACAGCGTGCTAAATCAGCCAGCCAATACAGAGCGACTAAAATCAGAGTGACTGCTTCTTTAAGCTGTTAACATTATTCATTTACATGTAAAATCTAGTTTTAAACAACACTTACATATTGTTGAAATCAAGACAATTATCTTAGATTGAATAAAGTAAATCTAATAAAAAATAAATTCATCTACAAAACGGTTCAATCATCTTTAAACAAATAAATTTATCCTAAAAGATATGTCATCTTCCAATTTATAAATACATCTCTATCTATCTATCTATCTATCTATCTATCTATCTATCTATCTATCTATCTATCTATCTATCTATCTATCTATCAACACTTTTTTAACAAAAACCTTTTTGTACATTGTATCTAAATTAACATTCCTAAATGACCTTCTAAAAAAGCATATCCTATTTTCTATTATAACCTTTATTTGTATCATTCCTGCCAAGCTGGCTCATTCTATGGTGAATTTGTACAGCATCTGTTTTCTATTAGCTTGGAAAGAAGGAATGTTCCAAAAAAAAAAAAAGAAAGAAAGAAAGAAAAAAAGAAAAACTCAGAAAGTTCAAACAAAGAATCAGGGGGTCTCTTTGGATTCCTGTGGAAAACTTGAAACCCTAAATTTGACCTCTTTCAGGTAATGGCATTTGGGTGATTCAGAGATATCCAGTAAACATCTTCTGGCTTGTTTCAACAGAAACGATGGCATTGCGCAACATTGTGAGAGCGCTGCAGTACACTGTCATTTAGAAGAAACGTCCTGCTAACAATTAGAAACAATGTGGCTCTTTAAAACTCATGAACTCAAAACACTCATCCGCCTCTTCTTTTCTAACCACATCTAGAAACAGACTGATCACAGCAAAACCCCTGTCTCTCCTGCTGTTATCCTCTGCAACGTTACACACGTTAAACGTCACTTTTGAGAAGACATTACACTTCAGAGTCCATGTCATGGGTAGCTTCCACATCTGTGACACCTCCAGGAGCAACATCTGCTGACATCCAGACAATGGGCTCTATTTTCGTGCCCGCCGGCGGCGTGGCGGAGGGTGGCAGACCCCACACAGTGGTATGTTCGTCTGGCAGAACCCTGTGCACAGCCAGTTTGGTATTTTCATAAACTGAGGCGAACCAAGGTCCGCCAAGCTGGGCGTGGTGGCACAGTAGGGGGAGGTGTCGACAGAATCAGCTGGCGCAGTGACATTTTTATGCCCGCCGGCGGCATAGAAAGTGCGCTGAAAGCTTGCCGATTCAAACCTAGTCAGATTTCAACGCCGGTGGAGCGCAGCTGGTCTAGTGGTATTTTGGTTGACCGGCTTCAACCAAGTGTGCATATGTCACCGATGCCTCACAGGCAGGTTTCCACAGTGTCAGGCACATTTCAGTGCAATAAATAATCAACAACTAATATTCTGAGTCAGCAAATAGATTTACATCTATATAGATATATTCTGATCTATATCTGATTTGATGAGCACATTTGCCACGCGTTTGGACACTCAACCTGACTCACGCCGCGCCTACACCAAGCCGCCGGCGAGGAATGAAAATAGAGCCCGATGACTCTTATATTTCAACAAGACAATGACAAACCACATTCTGACAACAGGGATTACAACAGCATGGCTCTGTAGTAGAAGAGTCCTGCTGATGAACTGGGCTGATGCAGTCCTGACTTGTTCCCCATAGAAAACATTTGGAGCATCAAGACACCATAGATAGGACAAAGGAGACCCTGAACTGTTGAGCAGCTGAAATCCTCTATCAGGCAAGAATGGGACAACATTTGACGTTCAAACTCCAGGATCTGGTCTGCTGGGTTCACTAACATTTACAGAGTGATGGTCAAAGAAGAGCTGAGTGTTACTGTGTTACTGGTATCAACGTGAGGCTAATGAAATAGTTATATTAGCATACCACGTGAATTCAATTAAAGCTGCTTTAAATCAGGAAGGAATCTGTTTTGTTGCTAGAACTCAAGCACCCCTAAAGGCAAAAATTCCTCATTAACACAGTAGTGCAACAATGTGCATCAAATGTTTATAAGCATAGTTTATTCCTTTGACAAAATGTCTGTGTTGGATAGTGCGGCTAAAACCACAAATGAACTGATCTCGGTAGATTTTGGTCAACAGTAGTTGGACTTATGAAATGGTGATGACAGTAAGAGTCACTCATCAGGATGTGGTGATGAGCTGTTCACCACATGGCTTCCTGTCTTCCTACGTAATCTGCTGTTGTGGTTTTTTGACATAAATATCAAAGGAAATATTGGCGCTGTGTGTGTAATGGGATGACCACTACCACAGATATATCTCCATTTTTAGTAAAAGATTGAAGGCTGGAGGTTAAACTCTGTTGGTTTTAGATCCAGGTAAGAAAAAAATAAAAATGTCACAGTTTGAGGAGGAATTAACTTATCCTCAGTGATTAAAAACAGCATAGTTGATTGATTGTATTTTGGCCCTTATTCTAATCTGGTTATTTTAATATTGACTATCTGTGGATGTATGCCTCAAGAGGAGGAGTTTTAAAAATTGTAGGGCCAAGACACCAAAAAAAATCAATTAATTAATAGCTAAAGAGCAATACAAGGACAAACAGTGAATATAAAATGCAAATAAAATGTATTTATTTTATTACAGAAAAGTGTTATGCTACCAAAGCTGAGCATGTGTCAGCTTATTGTTAATTATTGACGTTGATGTTTTTTTGTTTGCTTTTTAATCAGAAAGTTAATGAGAAAAATGTTCATGAAAAGTTTGAATCTTTGTCAAATTTAGTTTTGCAATTTTCTGGTTACCTGACTCCACAGCAGAAATGCAGTGCTGTGGCTTCAGACAGTACCTAAGTTGAAGTAAGGAGTCACATTTCTTGGTGTGGATTTTTTATACATTTCTATGTTAGCTGAAGACTCTGAAGTCTACCGGAGACTTGTATTCACATCTACCCTGTCCCCTCTTCTAATAATAGGGAGTCCCTCATAATAGTAAGAACCTTCAAAGCTCACTGCTACTGTACTTTAGGGTGGGATAGTGTTCTTTAAATTTATCACGTGGAGATGAAGAAACTTTTCTGCATTAGGGGTAAGGTATTAGTGACCAGGGGCCTCATGTATCAACGCTTGCGGCGCAAGAAAACCTTGCGTACGCCAAAATCGGCGCACACGTCCAGATTTATCATCGCGAAACGAGCGTCGGTTCCAGCGCTAATCAACGCAAAGTCAGGAGGTGGTGTAGAAATTGGCGTTGAGCTGGATATTTGCGTTGACTGTGATTCGCACTTTGGCGACGCTGTGTGGCGGTGTTTGGTGACTCACTATGTGACAAGCGTGCACCACATCCCCGTGGCCGGGCAGCACGTCGCCCCACATGACGAACCAGCAGCAGACGGAGGGATGCGAGCTGATCCCTGCCGGGCCGCCGTCCTCGCGCGGGAGAATCTCATCGCCACAGTGTGAATGGGTAAGAAGTGAATACACAGTTCAATGAGCCAAATTAATTTATTTTCTCCACCAGACGCTCGAGGACATTTACGAGCCGGTCCAGCCGCTCGTTGATCCCCGCGATCCCCCTGATGATTTCTTCCTGCGATTGCAGGACCCCCTCTGCGAGGACCCTTCCACTGCGTCCGGGTGGTCCAGCGGAAGCGCCGCGGCTGGTGGACGCTCCACCGCTTGTCGGCGCGCTGGTGCTGATGCTGGTGCTGGGGCCGGGGGCCGGGGTGGCCCGAATGCCGCTGGTCCTGGCCGACGACTTCGAGCCGGCGGACGGGCTGCCGCGGGCCAGGGTTCCGCAAGCAGGCGACACGGCCGACACATTAATTTCTGTGACACAATAAAAATATTAGTTCATTTCAATTCCTGCTTCTGTGTATCTGTTGCGTTTACATCTCTCTCCACGGTATCATAGGTAATGTAATCCAGTATTTCGAGGTCAGTTATGCACATTACAGTTGTTTATTGCATAAAAAGTTATCGAAAAATGAAGTTAAGGGCGAAGTATAAATCACGTCTAAAAATAGACTGAATCCCGACGTTGAAATGAAGTATAAACTTAGACTAGACGTCTAATATACGTCTTTTGCTCAGTGGGATGACAAAGCATGCGGACATTTGTGTGACACGCCACTTACCCTATAATAATAATCGCCACCACCCGCTGCTCAAACGGTGTGAGGGTCTCCTCCCCCGGACCCCCACCTGTCTGGCCGGTATTCCTCCGGAGGGCAGCTGTACGCCGCTTGACCTCCACCTTGAGGTCCGACCACTTTTTTAATCTCCGCGGGGGTGCGTGTCTCGGAACCCACCGCATTCACCCTCTCGCAAACTTTCTCCCACTCCAAGCGTTTTTGTTTTGCACTGACGCCACTGGACAGGCTGCCAAACAAAACACGCTGTCGCTCCTCCACCTCCGC